CAGAGCCCTGCACTCTTCTGGGTGTAGGGGGGGATGACGGAGCCCCGCACTCTTTTTCTGGGTATGGGGGGAGATGACGGGGCCCCGCACTCTTGTTCCGGGTGTGTGGAGGGGAGATGACGGCGCCCCACACTCTTGTTCCGGGTGGGGGCGGGGAGATGATGGAGCCCCGCACTCTTGTTCCGGGTGTGGGGTAGATGACAGATCCCTGCACTCTTCTGGGTGTAGGGGGGGATGACGGAGCCCCGCACTCTTCTTCTGGGTATGGGGGGGGATGACGGAGCCCTGCACTCTTGTTCCGGGTGTGGGGGGGGAGATGACGGGGCCCCGCACTCTTGTTCTGGGTGTGGGGGGAGGAGAGGGAGCCCCAGGCCCCCGTTCGGGGCAGGGGTAGGGGGGGCAGGGGCAGTGATTCCCCTGCTCTTGGCTGCAGCCTCTGCAGTGGAATCCTCACCCCCAGAGCCGGGAGGAAGTGGGAGATGGGGGTGTGTGTTAGGGTTCACATTCTGCAGACTCATCTTCCTTACTGAATCTTCATAGATTTTTAAAGAATAGATGTTTCTTCGTTTGTTGTGTGCCTTTGGATGCTTTGGGGGCTGCATAGTTGGGGTGTTGTCCTCCCCTAGGCGTTCTGGGGGAGCAGGCCTGTGGGTTTCTCTTGCAGGGAAGCTGGAAGCTGACCACCCAGAGCTGTGGCCACTGGAAGACGACACTGGTTAGAAGATGAACTCGATAAAATGACCAATAGCTCATAGTTCGGGGTGCTGCCCTGCCCATGATCAAAAACCCACGTATACCTTTTGACTCCCTGCAAACAACTACTAATACCCTCCTGTTGATGAGAAACGTTACTAGTAACAGGAACAGTCCATTAGCGCTTATATTGTATGTCGTACGTGTCGTGAACTGTGTTCTCAGAGTGAAGTAAGCGAGAGAGAGGGCGCTCAGTTATAGGGAGGGTAGATCAGAGCGCCGTGCTGTACGAATACGGCTTATTATCTGCTTTCTCGGTGAACATCCATCAGAACCTGCGTCAGTGCGGTCTTCCGCGACACAGGGCACTGCAGGCGCTATGTATATCACCAGCATGAGGCGTCAGAAATGAGAAGAATGCGGAAGGTTCGTGTTTATTTCCAGGTATGACAGCTCATGAGTTGACAGCGAGTCTGTGCCGGTGTGAGTGCTCCCCGATAGCTGGGCGTGGTCCTTACGACGGCTCCTCACGGCCTGCAGTCTGCTGGCGAGTGGATTGTGACACAGCGTTTCTAGCCTGCAGTGTCACAGGCTTGGGCACCGTGTTACATCATAAAACCGCCTGAGATGGACTGAGAGGCATTCTCTCCGGGGGCAGGGCGGGGGGTGGGGACACACGCCGTAAGGTCATGTAATTCTCCGAAAGCAAAGTTGTGAGACAACACATTACTCATTTTATGTCACATCTCAGTCCCTCGTGCCCATGTGAGGATAGGTGCCCACCTACACACACCTCTCGCACACGGTGTTCTTCCTGACGAACGCCTAGGTGATGGTGACACACGTGTGCGGCCTTGCCGTGCTCTCGCTCCATTTTCACATGCAGACGCGTGCACGGCAGGCGAGGTTATTTACTGGGCGCGTGGTGATCATTTGCTGTCTGGTGAGTGGAGGCGGGTCCTCACGAAGGTCCTCATCTGCCCACCTGCTTGGGGGCGGGCACCCTCGGTACAGCTTTCCAGAAGTGCATTTCTGTCTCCCCTCTGTGCCTTTCCGTTTCCCTGCAAGGTCCCTGCAGACGGTTGGCTCTGGTCCCCGCGCCCATGCCACGGAAGGGCTCGTGTGGGGAAAGGAGCCGGGACTCTGCCGCAGCGCTCCTGCTCGCAGCGCGCTTTCCATGCGCTCCCTCCTCGCCCCCCAGCTGCTGCGCCGGCTCTCCTCCATGCTGCCGTCTTCTGTGACCTCCTCAGGGTTGTGCCCTGAGCCCTTGACCTTCTCCAGGGTCCACATCCCCCGTCCCTTCGTCCCTCGTATCCACGATCTCGTTCACGACGTCCCGGATTGTCTGTGTCGCTGGTCCCGCGAAGTCCTGCACAACATTTATTTATTTTTTTATTTTTTTATTTTTTTATTTTTATTTATTTCTAGGAGAGAGAGAGAGACAGTGTGAGCAGGGGAGGGTCAGAGAGAGAGGGAGACACCGACTCTGAAACAGGCTCCAGGCTCTGAGCCGGCAGTCAGCACAGAGCCCGACGCGGGGCTCGAACCTATGAACCACGAGATCATGACCTAAGCGAAAGTCAGACGCTTAACCGACTAAGCCACCCAGGCGCCCCTACATTTAGACAGTTTCTCCAGCAGGGGTGTATTTCTTGTGTTGGGCTTGATGGTTTCCACGGAGTTTTCTGTAATGTCCGTGGCATCTTCCAGACTCCACAGTGTCCTTCTGTGGTGGTTCTCTGTCGTAGCATTGACTGTCCTTTTCATAAAGCGCGTGCCTAACGAGCCTGATGGGTCCTCATGGCCCCCGATCCTTTCACTGAATTAGAGCCGCTGTGCTCCAGGGCAAGTGGGCCGCCACGGCAAGTTCGGTGCCGACTGATGGGGCTCTGGGTGGCCAGGACGTCGTCCAGGATCAGGAGAACTTGAAGGACAGTGCCTTGCTGTCAGGGAACTCCCGAATCGAGGGACAGAGCCTCGATGGAACTAGTCCAGAGAAAGAGTTCTGGTGCTTCTTGCCTTCAGGGCCCTGGGGTGAGCGTCATAGATTAGGGCCTCCCTGACCACACCCCCGACTGCGTGTGCATGGGCGCAAGCTGCTTCACCCCTTCCTGGCTTACATCTCGGTGCTCACTCCTCTTCCTCACGAATAAATGTCCTCTGTGGCATTGTCCCGCATAGGCCACTTGCATCTACATCAGAAACCCGTGCAGGCAGACATCGACTCCTCAAGCGATTTTCTTTTTTTGTTTCTTTCTGTGTCTGAGTATGGCTGAGGTGCAGTGTACACTCATTCCTGCTTCTTAGTGATCTTCTCCGTGGTGTCCTTCTCTGTGGTGTCTGGGAAATCGTGTCCTTCCTCTTGGTGGTGGCAGCTGCTTCTGCTATCATCTTGGCAGTTTTTAAAGCCAGACCCCTTTCTAAAATCACCAAGCCATCCATCCTGTGCCAGCATTGAAATGTCCCAGCTTTCGATCCTTTCCTTCCTTTTGCCTTAAGCTGTGATGCAAGACCTCACTTTCCCTGAAGGTTGAGTCAAGTGTGTAGGTGTGTGTCTCACAGCAGTCCTGTGTCCACGGAGATGCCACGTCTTCCACACGAGACGAAAAGGCGTTTCACCAAAAGCACAAGGTGTTTGCGTCTGCCGGTGTGGCTGCCACGACAGCTGCGTGGATTTCCTTCTTTGTCCCTCCACGGTCCTCGCACTGGCCGGCTGGCAGCCGCAGGCCTCAGTGCGCGTCAGGCGGCTCGGCCTTTCCTTGTCCTGCCACGAGTCTTCTCCCCGTATCACCAGGGGTACTTTGTAACGGTCCCGGGGTGTAATGTGGGTTTACGGTGTTGTGCTCAACGTACTGAGAACTGCGCAGGAGCCCGGAGAATCACTTTTACTGTGACGCGCGATTTACCAGGGAAAGGACCTGCCCACTGCGGGGTGATTAGCGGACTGTTGCAGCACTTGAGGTGAGCGCGGTAGCAGCAGGAGGTGGCCCACAGTGACCCCCCGCCCAGGACTGCGTCTGCTACGGCTGATTTTATGCGGTCAGGACTTCGTACTGTGTCTTCACGTTTCTTTCCGTTTCTCTTGACCACAAATGGCACCGCGTACCGTCTGTTTATGTGCATGAGTTTTGATCAGTTTTACCTCTTTATAGTAGATTTGTGGATGTTTTCAGTAGTAGATGATAAAATAGCCTAGTATCTGCCTAGATTTCTTATTTTCATGGCCTATGTTTTTCTTAAACTTTCAGGCATTTCTAGGCTACTCAGTTCATCTGCCAGTCTTCCCAGATTGTCGCACATCTCCAGAAAATTTTCCAGTGTATTTTAAAAAAAAAAACACCCACCCCACGTAGAAGTGGGCCTGCATAGTTCTACATCACGGCTCAGACAGGCTTCTGTGGGTGAACCTTGTAAAGTCGGATTGCAAGGAATGTGGTCAGTTCTGTGGTAAAGTTCCCCTTGCATGGCAAAGGGTTAATTTAGGTATGCACTTGAAGTATGTCACCTGTTTGTAAATTGACTTTCTAGAATTGCCTAAATCAACTACTTTCTGTGTTTTGAATGTCAGGTTGTTATGTGAACCTTTATTCTCTCCTTTTCCTTCAAAACTCTGGGCTCCTGCTGGCTCGGGGTGAAGCATCCGACTGTCGGTTTGGGCTCAGGCCACGGTCTCATGGTTCGCAGTTCGAGCCCCACATTGGGCTCTGCGCTTGACTGACAGGAGAACATGTGTCCACCTCCTTCAAGCCACCTCTTCACTGTGTCCCGGCGGGAGCACTCAGCATCACCGGGAGAGCAACCCACGTGGGGTGGGGGCCCGGCCTCGCTCTCCTCAGCGACACTTCATCCAGAAAGCTTTCTGCTTCACTAAAGAAATAAGTCTTAAACTCTCCCTTTCTTCAAGAGGCTGAGCAGCATTTTTGGAAAGTCCTTTTCGTGTGGTTGAGTTTAATGGGGCCGCTTCTTCCAGCTACTAGACCAGCTTTTGGGACCCGTCAGCCCTTCCCAGCAGCCACTCCCCAGCCCTGCCTTCCACACGGGGCCAGCAGCTGGGGACAGGGAGCAGCCTTCCTAGCTGGTTCCCGCCCCAGCTGTTTCCGTGTCACGTATCTGCAAGGCACCTGTCCCCTTGCGTGTTGGGCCCTAGGAAAATCCCTGGGACTCGTGTGGGTTGTGAGGAGGGGGCTTGTGCACGCGCTGGGGCTCAGGGGTGGTGGGTGGGCTGGCTAGGGAGGGCCATGGAGGCCTGATGCGCTGTGGCTAAAGACCCCCGTCTCCCTCCGCTTTTGTCCCCTCCCTGCCTCCAGGAGTTTGCGGCGCTTACGAAGGAGCTCAATGTCTGCAGGGAGCAGCTCCTGGAGAGGGAGGAGGAGATCGCCGAGCTGAAGGCGGAGAGGAACAACACCAGGGTCAGTAGGTGCACTGCCGCCGTCTCTCGACTCGGGACACGGGGCACTCGCCTCGTCCACGTGTCCCCGTGGAGCTGCCGGGACCCATGAGTGCATTGTTCTCAGACCTTGTGTGATCCGTGATGAGAATTAACACTACTTTAACACGTTCGAGGGGGCGGCTCTCGGATTTGAGACTGAGTTGAAGGGATTCAGACTTGGTTTAGGATTTGGTTGCATTGAGGCCCGAAATTGAACGTGCTCTTTCAACCCGCTTTCCCCCCGGCCTCTCCCGCCAGCTGCTTCTGGAGCACTTGGAGTGCCTCGTGTCCAGGCACGAGAGGTCTCTGCGCATGACGGTGGTGAAGCGGCAGGCGCAGTCCCCCGCCGGCGTGTCCAGCGAGGTGGAGGTGCTCAAGGCCCTGAAGTCCTTGTTCGAGCACCACAAAGCTCTGGATGAAAAGGTGCCCGCGGCCACGGCTGCTCCCGATCTGCGCATGCGCTGTGTGTTATCAGGCATACGGCGCCTGTGTGTGTGACTGGAGTTTCCTTTTAAGCTTCTTGAGTTCTTGTGAGAAGACAGTTCTGTAAGGTTAACTTGTAGTGGTTAGTGGTTGGCGGGCGTGCGCTGTGTATCGACTCGCTGTTCCGAATGGAGTAATGTAATTTATTTAGGGGAAGACTTCTCTCAGGTGTAAAATTTAAAGCCGTTAACAGGCAAGCTTATTAACATTAGCATCTGTGAAAGACATTAACGGCATCCTGTCCTGTTATCTGAGGCTAAGGGGACCTTTGGGTAACTGTACGCTAAGGGGTAATTAAACACAGACACGTACAGACTCAGTCCCTTTGTTTCTAGGTGAGAGAGCGGCTACGAGTAGCACTCGAGAGGTGTAGTTTGTTAGAAGAAGAATTAGGGGCCACACACAAGGAGGTAAGCTCGAGACACCACAACGGGGTTTATTTGAGGGGGTTTCATTTTTTTCCCTTGTTTTTAAAAAATGTATGAAGCAGAGCAGTGGGGCTGGCACATGTTGCTTACCTCCCTGACCGGTGAGCGATGGCCGGCGCCCCGCACTCTCAGCGTGCAGCCCATGACACAGTCGGTTTTTATTTTTTTATTTATTTATTTTTTAATATTTTTATTTATTTCTAGGAGAGAGAGAGAGAAAGCATGAGCAGGGGAGGGTCAGAGAGAGAGAGGGAGACACAGACTCCGAAACAGGCTCCAGGCTCTGAGCTGGTAGTCAGCACAGAGCCCGATGCAGGGCTCTGAACCCACGAACCGCGAGATCATGCCCTAAGCGAAAGTCGGACGCTTAACCGACTAAGCCACCCAGGCGCCCCACACAGTTGGTTTTTAGTAACTCATTTTCTTCCAGCTGGAGAACGTCACCACTTACGTCCCCGTACTGTGCTCACAGTTTGCAGCTGTGTCTTTCAGGGAGGAGTTTCTCCATCTTTACTTATTTCCTCACCTTTCTGTTGAATTCTCTGGTTTTAGCTAATGATTCTTAAAGAACAGAATAATCAGAAAAAAACACTAACAGACGGAGTGCTTGACATAAACCACGAACAGGAAACTACGCCGAGCACGAATGGAAAGGCAAGTCCTTAGGCTTTCTCTCTGTCTCTTCCCCGGTCCCTCTGCCCGTAGACGTGGGGCCTTGTGCAGGACTGTGCGGAGAGCCGCTGCTGAGGTGCGTGGCGCCCTCGTGCTCATAGATCGCGGGACTTGCCCCATTTCCCGCAAGTGCCCTGTTTCCTAGCTCACCAGACCAGGCTATTGAAGGATGCTCCCCCCCCACCCCCCAGAGATCTTCGGACGGCTCTCTAAGCCACGAGGAGGACCTTGCCAAGGTCATCGAGCTCCAGGAAATCATAGATAAGCAGTCAAAAGAGCAGAGCCAGATGAAGGAGCGCCTGGCTGCCCTGTCCAGTCACGTGGCGGAGCTGGAGGAGGACCTGGACACCGCGAGGAAGGACCTCATCAAGTCGGAAGAAGCGAACACGAAGTTGCAGCGAGATGTCCGTGAAGTGAGTGGCGGTAGGAAGGGCCACGCCGTCGTCCAGCCGAGCGTGGGGTGCTGGGTTTGGTCGGGGTGCTGGGTTTGGTCGGCACCCGGTGCGTCCTTTCTCTCTTGTGGAGTTTGAACCTTTGGAGTTTTGTAGAAGTGGCAGCGGAACAGAACGGTGCTCCAGGCCTGGGGCCGGCTGCCTCCTCGTCTGCGGGGTGGGGTCTCCCCTCCCTCGGCTCCCCCCTGCCGGGGCCGGGCCGGCGGGTAGCGCCCTCGGGTGCGGGGTGTGGGCTGTCTGAGCTTGTCCCACACCGCGCTCGAGGTGGTCGTTTCTGGGAATCTGATTGTTGTCTCAGAAACAGGTAAGGGTGGGACGGCCTCCCTGCGCCTCCTCCTGTCACCGTGAGCTGCCCTCTGTGGACAGTCTCCCCCCCACCCCCCCGCCCCGCCCCCTCAGGAGGACCCTCTCCGAGCCTGAGTGTGTGTGTACAGGTGCGCTCTCTGTTCAGTAGCTTACTGTGGGTGAGGTCATGTAAGAATTTAAAGCAAAAATATTTGCAGAAACGATAAAACCTACTTAGTTAAATTATTCTTTGGCAAGGAAGGGAGGAGACTCTGCAGCAGAGTTTAATATGCAGAGAATTTGGAAATTCGTTTTTTTTGTTTTTATTCTTAAGAGAGAGAGAGAGACACACAGCATGAGTGGGGGAGGGGTAGAGCGAGAGGGACACAGAATCCAAAGCAGACTCCAGGCTCTAAGCTGTCAGCACAGAGTCCGACATGGGGCTCAAACTCACAAGCCATGATATTGTGACCTGAGCCGAAGTTGGACGCTTTACTGCTTGAGCCGCCCACGCGCCCCTGGAAATGTGTTTGTTAAGATTCATCACTTTTACTATTAAGGCTGCTGACATAAATTCCGTAGTAAACAGGGAGGGGCAGAAGATTAATCTTTAGGGTGGGAGCGGGAGAGGCCGGGCAGACAGCTCTGGTTCCGTTTTCAGTGTTAGGTACCCTGTGACACAGTTTTGTTACAGGACTAGGCTTCAGAAGGTTACTTCCCATTACATGGAAGTTTGAATTTTATTTCCATTTGTTAACACTACTGCTTTAACTTTGTGGGAATGGGATGATATTTCATCTGGCTCTTACCCGGGAGGACGGTGGTTGTGTCTCACGGTGTCCAGTCCTTGTTCCGTGGAAAGCTCCCTTGTGTCGGGAGGCAACAGGCGTTGTGACTTCCGGCAGATTTTATTGTATGTTTCTCTTGTAACACGTCAGAAAGAATAAGCTTGGTAAACCGAGTGGCCAGAATCCCAAGCAGGCTCCGCACTGTCAGCGCAGAGCCCAACCCGGGGCCCGACCTCACAAACTGTGAGACCATGACCTGAGCCAGAGTTACTGGCTGAGCCACCCGGGTGCCCTGAGGATGCTAGTTTTATATTTGATTTGGAAATTAGGATTTAGTCCAAATTTGTGCCTGGAGTATCTGCCTGGGTCATACAGTAATTCTTTACTTGTTTTGCCTCTGAAATATGTGCTATAGGCCATGGCCCAGAAGGAAGACATGGAAGAGAGGATCACTACCCTTGAGAAGCGCTACCTCGCGGCACAGCGTGAAGCCACCTCGGTGCACGACCTCAACGATAAACTTGAAAACGAGATCGCAAATAAAGACTCTATGCATCGACAGGTAGCTCATCTCATTGAACTTCATTCGACTTTTATTAATTACTAGTGAAGTTAAAGACCTTTTTCCTGTGACTTTCATGTTGGAAATCAAGTCTCAACGTAAAGTTTTTAGGATCTTAGAATATCGTGTTCAAAAGCGGGGGTTGCTTCAGCTTACAAGTTTTAATGATTTAGGATTTTATGTCACCATCATAAGGAGCTACTCGCCTTGATTCTCTCCCTGTCTTGTTTTATTTTTTATTTTTTTTTTTATGTTTTATTTATTTCTAGGAGAGAGAGAGACAGCGTGAGCAGGGGAGGGTCAGAGAGAGAGGGAGTCACAGACTGAAACAGGCTCCAGGCTCTGAGCTGGCAGTCAGCACAGAGCCCGACGCGGGGCTCGAACCCACGAACCGCGAGATCGACCTGAGTGAAAGTCGGACGCTTAACCGACTAAGCCACCCAGGCACCCCTCCCTGTCTTGTTTTAACTGCGTGTTTATCTTTTGCCTGTTAGCACTTTGCCCAGAGGAGCAGGGAGTGGCCAGGAGCCTGCAGGCTGCTGACCACTTTTCTTAGTGCCTGGGATCCGGGAGGAAGGGTGGGCGCAGAAGCAGTCTGGCGTCAGGATGTGCGTCTCCAAGTTCTGAGAGGCTGCACGTCTCTTCCTCGGTCATCTCTGCTCATCCGGGTTAGACACACAGACCAAGTCCAGCTTCTTGGAAACACAGTGTGTTTGTCTGCTGTGTTTCTAGAGTGTGTCAGGGGGGCCAGAATACAATGAAAGTAAAATACAAGGAAGCCATTAAAAACTACGTTGAGGAATGCTGTTTAAGAGCACGTGAGATGTTCCAAATAATGAATGTAGGAGACAGATCCCGAAATTCTACATACAGCATGGGATTTATTTTCTGAGAGTTTTAAAGCATGATATGTGGTCTGTATATACACACAGAGCTGTATGCACACAGAAGAAGGAAGGAGGCCGTGTATAAACAGATGTTAACCTCACAGGATCCTCAAATTATACATGATTTTTAAAATTTTTTGTTTATTTATATTTGAGAGAGAGAGAGTGAGTGAGAGAGAGCATGCGAGTGAGCGCGCACAAGCCAGGGGAGGGGGGGTGGGGACGGAAGAGGGCAGAGAGGGAGAGGGGGACACAGAATTGAAACAGGCTCCAGGCTCTGAGCTGTCAGCACAGAGCCCGACGCGGGGCTCAAACCCACAAACTGTGAGATCATGACCTGAGCCAAAGTTGGACGTTTAACCTACTGAGCCATCCAGGTGCCCCTAAAATCACTTAAAAAAAAAAAAATCTCTTGTCTAAATTTTTCACATTAAATTTTTTTTCAAGAGTGAGAGGGGTTTTTCTAAAGAACAGTCACACACTTAGAAAAATCACTGCCCTGGCAGTAGGCATCGTCTCTGGAGCTCTGCGCTGGCTGCCGTGCCCGGGGCGGTCTGGCCTAAGGAGTGAGCCCTCAGACCACGAGTCTGGTAATTTTTAAGAAGGGTCAGGCCTGAACCCTCTTTCCTGAACTTGTCAGGAAGAACGAACAAGCTTCTACCGAATGGGTTTTCTTTAACGTACGGGAGCCTTGTCCTTTTGAAGACTCCTTTGAAGACACTGAATGAGAACAAATACTCTGGCAAGAGGTGTTTTGCGCATTGAAACCAGGCCTAAGGAAGTGGGGTTCCTTGCAGCAAGAAGAATTTTACTCCGAGGCAGTTACCAAAACAGTTGGCTTGTATCAGAACTAACTTAATAGATCTCTAGGTGTAGACTTTGTTTCATTTTATTAAAAATAGAAACAGAAAACTCGCTACATTTTAATGCTTTGCCTTCACTTCCTAGACAGAGGATAAAAACCGCCAGTTACAAGAGCGCCTAGAGTTGGCGGAGCAGAAGCTGCAGCAGACCCTGAGGAAGGCCGAGACGCTGCCCGAGGTGGAGGCCGAGCTGGCCCAGCGGGTGGCGGCCCTCTCCAAGGTGGGGCCTGCCTTTGCTTCTGGGTCCTGTGGCGGGATCGGGATTTCCACGGTGGTTCGCGCGTGTCCCTTGTCTATCGCTGTTCTTGATGTCGGCGCACCACAAGCTATGAAACAGCTCAGATCTGTTTTTGTGCAGCTTTGTCCGAGATTGGAATGCTTTCCAGAAGTCAGGCATCGTCCCTGTTTCTGTTAGCTCCAGTTTTGTCAAATGTGTGCCGTTTCCAGTGTGCTTGATCTGAGATTCACTGCTTCTCAGAGTTAAGGCAGCAGCTCAGAGCTCAAGACCGCAGCTGTGGATAAGAGCAGGCCAGAGGCGCCTGGGGTCCTGTCCGTGGAGACTGAGACTCTTGATCTCAGGGTTCTGAGTTTGAGCCCCACGTTGGGTGTAGAGATTACAAAACAAAAGGATAGAATTTTTCTCGGAAATAAGAAAAATCTGTTTTCCTTTAAAATAATCAAAATAAAATTGTAGTTTTATATTTAAAAACTTTTTTAAACATTCATTTATTTTGAGATAGAGAACGTGCACACGTGCGGGAACGGCGGAGGGGCATAGAGAGAGGGAGAGAGAGAATCTCAGGCAGGCTCCACGCGGTCAGCCTGGCGCGGGGCATGAGATCGTGACCTGCGCTGAAACCAGGGGTCAGACGCCAGACTGACCGAGCCCCCCCAGGCGCCCCCGTGATGAGATTTCCGAGTGATTCATTCACTAGTTCAGCAAATACGGGCGCCGCACGTGCAGGACCCAGTCCCGCGGGGGAGCCGGTGGGTGGAGGGTGGTTTCCCAACATGACGTGGTCAGTGCTGGGATCGAGCGGCCCACGCGGGACGGGGGAGCATGTTACCGCGCGGACAGGCTGGCCTCCTGGGGCCTCAGCGCTTCTGTCCCACCGGCTGCGGGGGCCCCGCCGGGAGGGGGCAGGACGGGATGCTGACGCTCAGGGTTGACGTCGGGTCGGTGCCCGCAGACCGACAGCCGCAGCAGAGCCTGCCCTCGCCTCTGTGATCTGCGTGTAAAGTCTCCGTTTCTTTTCTCCCCTGTCCTCCTCTCTCCTGTCTCTGGTCGGCCTCGTAGTCCGACCCTTTGTCTTCTGGACACTCTGCTGCTAAGGAAGCTAGACTGTTGGAACTCACTTCCCAGCTTAGGAAGGTAGCACGCGAGCATTGCTCTCTCCCACCTGCTACTTCCTGCTGTCTGTGCCGGCTGACCCCGGGCGTCCGCGGGGGCGGGGAGGCGGCATCGCGGATCCGGGACCCCGGGGTGGGGACGAGCACGTTGCCGGGCCCGGGTCGCCAGCGCGGGGAGGCCTGCCGCTTCCCACTGGCCCCCGTGAGGCTGGCAGGACGTGTGAGCAGGTGGGGGCCGCTCGTGGCACATGATGCGTGTGCACAGGGTGACTTGCGGGGCCGCCGGCCTGGCTGACCCCCCCGCCGTCGCCCACAGGCCGAGGAGAGACATGGCAACATCGAGGAGAGGCTGCGCCAGATGGAGGCCCAGCTGGAGGACAAGAACCAGGAGCTGCAGCGGGTACGTGTCCCTCCGAGCGGCCGCGCGCCTGGTGGTGCTGGAGGACGGGGCTCTGGCCGGGGTGGGGGGCGCGGGGCCTCGTTTCCCACTCCTCCCCGCGGGGACGCCGGACCCCTTCTCCGCACCACCGGGTACAGTGCTCTCGTGTGCCAGTTATCAGCTGGTGAGTGTGCTGGCACACGGACGGTGTTCTGTGGGCGCTGGGGCCCCATGGGCAGGGTCACGGCAGCTGGAGCCCCCCCTGCCCCCCAGTGCGCTGTGCCCACCGGCTCATCCATAGCTGCTCCTGGTGCACTCAGGACCTCAGAGGCCCCTCGGCCAAACCGGAGGTGCTGGCCTGGGGTGAGGCACGTCCCAGAGGGGCAGTCTGCTTGCTTAGGATGTGATGTTGAGGTCTGGAAATCAGGTCACGGGCCTGACCTCTGTCCCTGAATCCTGAATTACGACTTGAGACAGAAAGCCTCTGGGGCCAAGAATTCGACCCTACCTACTTAGAGATGCATTTCATTGCTCTCAGGGCTAGATTGTAGTTTGCAAGGACAGGTGTAGAGATGGGGATTCTTTTATAACTGAGGCCATTCCAAGGAAACTTTTAAGCTGTTTTGCTTTAAAACCATGGGGTGCTGATCCCCTCTTGGGGGTGGCCAGGGTCTTTTCCGAGTGACGGCAGCGGCGGTGTGTCAGGTGTGGTCGTCTGTGCTTTCTGGTCACTCCTCCCAAGGAAAGAGTGCCGGCACGAGTGTCCTGCAGACGACGAAGCCCGAGCTCAGGGGCCTGAGTCCTGTGCCCTCTGGGCTCCTCCTACCTGGGCGGCCTGGCTGGAGGGCACGGGTCACCCCACCCCCGGCCCCCTGCGCCCTGCCTGGAGGAGCCCCGAGCACTGCCAGCCTGTTCTTGCTGCTGCTGCTTTGTGTCCGTGCGGATATGGCACAGAAACAGGCTTTGTAAACCATGCAGTTGTGGACGGTTTTGTAAAACAGACCTGTCAGCTTTGCTGTTATGTTTGAAAAATACTTGAGGTGGTTAGTCATAATTTAAAAAAAAAATTTCTTTTTTATGTTTTACTTATTTCTGAGAGAGAGACAGGCAGCGTGATCAGGGGAGGGTCAGAGAGAGAGGGAGACACAGAATCGGAAGCAGCTCCAGGCTCTGAGCTGACAGTGGGTTTTTTTTTTACCTTTTGCTTTTGTAAATTGATTCATTTCTTGCCCTGTGAATCCAGCCTCTGTTTACACACGGGAAAATTCCTCGTCCCGTGTGTGGATAAGCTGATCCCCTTAAAAATATGCTCGTTCCTGCATGGAAATCTCCCTCCTGAGTCCCTGTGAGAGCTAACAGCTCAGGACATTCCTGAGGCCCCGCGCACGCACAACGGGACTTTCTAATGAACGATCCCTCGAAGGCTTGTCCCTGCAGCTCCGCCAAGTCTGTCCTGGTGGTGATGCACCAGCGCGCCGAAGAGGGCCGCCCCTGGGCAGGGGTGGCTGGGATAGCATGCGTGTGGTCACACCGGTGCTGCTGGTATGTCAGAGCCCGTGATCGGACTGTTGCTTGAAGCTCGTGTCCTGTCTTTCAGGCACGGCAGAGAGAGAAGATGAACGAGGAACATAATAAGCGTTTATCGGACACTGTTGACAAGCTCCTTTCTGAATCCAACGAGAGGCTTCAGCTTCACCTTAAAGAGAGAATGGCGGCCCTGGAAGACAAGGTAGGACAGCACGGGCGGCTGCCGCGGGCCCTGCCCTCCCAGGGGAGGCGCCCACACTGTGCCCCTGCGGAGCAGCCACCGCGGAGGGTGGAAGAAGTCCAGACTGTCAGCCGCTCCCTGAGTTATGTGACCGGTGTCCTGTCCCTGCCTGATGTGTGTTGGAGGGAAGGTGTGTCTTATGTGTCTGTGAAGGCCCCATAGTAAGTGCTCTGGGCATTTACTGGCTGTGAGTTATTGAGTCACATAGCTCCACTCTCATCAACGACTGGCACAGAAGCAGCCACAGACCGCACAGAACCAGTGGGTGTGGCCGTGTGCCCGTGACCCTGTGTGTACAGACCAGGCGGTGGCTGTCCGTGGTCGGCAGGCCACTGTTGGCCCGCCCCGCGCTGGAACGTGTGTTGGGTGCAGCCCTTGGCCTTGTGCTTGCTTGGGAGCTGCTTTCTGCCTTGTGTAGGAAGACGACACTGTAGGAACGCGCTGTTATGTAAGGGCTCTCCTGTTCCATCTCCTGCTTCTCTCTTTTCATCTGGTTTGGAAAAAGGCTAAGCCTGACTCTTGCGCTGGCATCATGGAAACACTTTAGCTGTAACCGGAGCGAAGGAGGATCGTGGGATCTGTGTCAGAGAAGCTCTGGGGGCATCGGTTGGATTCGGACTTGATAAAACCCTTTCCGGCTCCACCCGTGTCCCTGAAGATGAGCCCAGACTTCCCTAAGATTGGCACTTGGAGGCCCCGTGGTCACTGCTAATGACCCGGCACACTTACTTCACCTAAAACCCGTTGTGGGCACGATGTCAGCCCTGTGGGCCCTTGCCTCACCACCCCCTTGGTCCCCTGGCCAGGCTTTAGTAAGAACGGCTTAACTTGGGCTTGAAGTGTGCGTGGGACACTTTGGCCCGGGTTCCCGAGTGACTGGTGAGTTACAGACCCTGAAAGTGAGTACAGACCAGTTTAACCGATGACAGTAAACGAGCAGCTCGTCACACTTACCTTTAGGAGTTGATCCGTGAGGAACCTGTACACGGACGAATTGTCCCTAATGGCTGGTACTGTGGCTTCAAAGGCAGCGTCCCCTCTGTGGGCCTGGGACCCTGCCTGCTGGTGTTGCCGTACGGCCGCTCCTTCTCTGTGGTGTGCCGTGTTATTTATTTATTTATTTATTTATTTATTTATTTATTTTTAATGTTTTATTTCTGAGAGACAGAGACAGTGTGAGCAGGGGAGGGTCAGAGAGAGAGGGAGACACAGAATCTGAAGCAGGCTCCAGACTCTGAGCTGTCAGCACAGAGCCCGACACGGGGCTTGAACCCACGAACCGTGAGATCATGACCTGAGCCGAAGTCGGATGCTTAACCGACATAGCCCCCCAGACACCCCAAGTGCCGTGTCACTTTAAAGAGAAGCGTAGCCACACTCCTCTTTAAGAATCAACACTGAAGTACTGTCTGTGTCTTTTTCAGAACTCTCTACTACGAGAAGTTGAAAATGCAAAAAAGCAGTTAGAAGAAACACAGCATGATAAGGTACTTCATCTTGATATCATTCAGAGGTCCCCTGAGACCGGGAAGGAGCGGGTGCCCGCTGGGGCTCACCATCCGTCCGCAGCAGCCCCTGCTTTGTCCTGGAGTGGCCCCTCGCTTGCATCTCCGCTGCACCTGCGTCCGGCGGAGTTGGAGCCGAGCAGCATGTGGTTCAGAATTCTGAGCCCTTTCTGGGCCCACTTGAAAGCTAAATGTGCGCATAAACCTTGGGCGTAGTGCAGTGCTGCCCAGCAGGAAGGTGACAGGAGACAGGCATGTCATCCCTAGGTTCTTGTGGCCGCATGTAAGGTCGTAAAGAGAGACGGGTGACGTTTTCATTCAGCCCGATGCAGGCGAAATGTGGTCGTATCATGGACGCAGCATGGGGACGAATGGGCTGCCTCACAGAGGTTTTCATGCTCGGTCCTTGCGACCCACGGAGCGCCTCGGTCCCAGCCCCTGCGGTCAGGGCCCGCCCCGTTTCGGGCGCTTGGGGGCCGCGGGCGGCGCGTAGCGGCTTGTTGGGTGGCCGCAGGTCTTTGTTGGTTTCGCCTGCTGGTTCTGCGTGTGCAGGAGTGAGGCTGGGCTGCTGGGGGGTCTGCGAAGGAGCGCCGCTTCCCCCACCGCCCAGAAAGTCCTGCTCCCGCCTGCAGCGTTGGTAAGTGCTAGTGGCTTGGTGTTTCCCCCTAAAGACCTGCCATGACGGAGACCTGACTGCCGCTGGGGTCTAGGAAGCTAGCGTGACCCGGGGGGTCACTGGAGGGCTCTTGGGGACGCGGTCTTGGGATCCAGGGTTTGGGGCCGGTGACTGCGGCCTTGACCCGTTGTGGTGTTTTTGGTCAACACGTGAGCACACTTGCTGCAAGTAGCTTTTTCATTCTTTTTTAATTGAATTATCATTAACCCATGTGGTGTATCACTTTCAAGGGCACAGCGTATTGTTTCAGCAGCTCCTCATGTTGCTCTGTGCTCGTCACCATAACCGTGGTCACCGCGCATCACCGCGCAGAGGCCGTACCATGTCACGGGCCATGTTCCCTGTGCTCGCGCCTCATCCCCGTGACTGCCTTATCTTCCACCCGGACGCTTCTGCCCTCATCCCCGTCCTCCCCTCTCGTCCACCGCCCCCCTCCTCCCCTCTGGCAACCACGTTTGTGCTCCACGTTTAAGGGTCTGTTGATGCAAACAATCGTGAACCTTGCCTGCAGCACGTGTCGTTGTTGTCTGCTGCTTTGCAGGACCGGCTCCTACTGAACGTGGAAGCGCTGAGGGCTGAATTAGAGCAGACGAGACTGAGAGGCACCACCCTTCACCGTGGGTATGACATTTCCCAGTTCGCAGATCTGTTCCAGATGCGGCTGGGGGCTGTGCCACTTTGAGCAGCTCGCGGTTACACACTGGCACCGTGGGTGGATAGCCGACGCCGGGGGGGCACTTCCGTTCGCCGTGGCTCTGACATGAACCAGCTCCCAGACCTGTGCGTCAGCACCTGCCGTGCATCTTTGAGAGCGAGCCCCTGGCCACGTGGGCAGTGTGACTGAGTGCTGCTCAGGGCTCCGGTAGCTTAGTAGCTGGTGAGAGGGAGAAGTGAAACATCATTCTGGAGGTCGGGCTCGGACACCTAGCAGGCCCAGAGGCCCAGCGGAGCTCGCAGCCGCGGGAGGGGGCGTGGGAGGTAGGGAGCCATTGGTCGGCGTTGTGGTGGGTCAGTTTGCGGCCGTCCTGAGGGTGGCGCTACAGGTGTGGGGATCAGAGGGACCCAGTGTGCCCAGGAGCCGTGGTCCTTTCCACAGGGCCGGTGGGGTCGCCGTGGAGTGGCTGCACGGCCACAATAGTGAGGGACACCTTGACATTCACGGGTTAGCACAGTGCTTGCAGTTTTCTATATTTTTTAAAAGACCCTGGAAGAGGATGACACGTAGTCACTTTAAGCGTTGGGACAGCTGTGAGTCGTCCGTGTGGGAGTGAGTCAGCTGCTTGCAAGCTACGTTCTGCTGACAGTAGTTGTCACCAAGATACTGAGAGGTTTCTTTGCTTCTTTGTAGGAAATAGTCCCCACGTGAGAGTCCCGCTACAGCTCGAGTCGCTGACGGCCTCCCTGGTGTGCGGGAGGTGGGCCGCTCGGGCCACACAGGGGTCTGTGCAGCTGCAGGCGCGGGCTCTCGGGAAGGTCGAGGGTACCCTGTGGCTGCCGCCTCGAGCCTGCTTGTAGGAAAGAGGAGAGGCCCTCCCTGTCCGTGGGGCCCCCGGAGGGGGAGCGAGCGTGTGTCTGGAGAGGGACGTGCACGGGAGGACCAGGGCACGGAGCGGCAGAGGCCAGTGTCCTGAGTGTTACTGCTCAAGGGCTCGGGGACGTGTACGTGTGAGGAGGCCGAGTGAGCGCACAGCGGAGCACGTGGACATGGTGCAAGCCACTGCCACGGAAGCTGGAGTTCTGCAGGGGCGGAGCCGTGCGGGCACCTGGAGGGTGGCACCGTGGGGCAGTTGTGATGACAGAGAAGTTCACGCCCGCCACCCACTTGAGGGGTGCTGGCCAACGTGAAGGATAGAGGGGCCATGTGCTCCCGTGCCGCAGAGGGGGCGACCGTGGTCAAGGGGGGCTTCGCGGTCCAAAGACAGTGGGCAGGCGGCCGGCAGGGGGAGGTGTCTGTTGGAGGCCGTGTCACGGAGGGCTTTCCCGTGTGGTGGTACAGGAGAGGCTGCTGGGTCTGTGTCGCTGTGAGCAGGGGCGGGCCGTGGGGACGGGACTGAGAAGGTGGAGGGCCGGCACGGCCTCACAGCGGGTCTGCATGTGTGCCCTCCTTGAGCAAGGAGAGGTGGTCCGGGTTGCAGAGGTAAAGAGAGGTGACGGACTGACTCCCACATGCAGGCAGGGCAGATAGGAGGGAGCTTTGGGATAGGACTGGATGCGGGGTGGGGGGCCGGCGGACCCAGGACAGGGTGGCAGAGTTAGGGGGACACTCGTGAACCTCAGAGGAGCCACGGACCATCCCAGACCATCGATTGGCCCCACGGCGGTGAAGCTACACCACTGAGCGCAGGGGAGCGGTTCTGCCGGGAGTGGGGGCCGGAGGAGGGGAAGACGGTGTGGAGTGTGGCCGGCAGGCTGTCCGGACTTGGACGTCTTACAAACGAGCAGAACTCTGAGATGGTGCTTCCCAAAGAACATAGACGGGAGTGCGGCGCAGCGCGGGACGGCCTGTCGTGCTGCCTCCGTCTGCGGGCCGCGCAGGCCCCTCTGGCGGGCGTGCATCAGATGAGCAGTTTCTGTCTCCCGAGACCTTGAGGATTTCTGAAAACAAAGGCAGCCGCTCTCCCCAGAGAGCAGGGAGCCACGGGACTCCCGTGTAGGGTTGAGGTGTGGCGGGTGAACCCATGGCTGAAGCCGGGCACGTGGGCTTGCGGGCACTCCTTCACCCCTGCTGCCCGCTTCCTGCTCAGAGCCCTTGCCGAGGGGAGCAGCCGACAGCCCACTTCAGCTCTCCATCCTAGGGGCTCAGGGCTCCGTCACCTCTTCCAGAGACTTCTCTGGCCAAGGTTGTCAGTGGTGTGTCAGTCTAAGTGCACACAGGCCAGAGACGCTTTTGACCTGGAAACACGAGGTGAGCTGCCAGCTCCTGTCCGCGGAAGCTGTGAGCTGGGGTTCCCAGGGCTCCTGCCATCGGGGCCTGAGGCGCCCCCTGGTGGCAGGTGGAGGGACACCTGGGGTCACCTGGCCTTCCACTGAGGGCCTTGGCTGGAGTGACATGTAGGTGCACTTCCTGTCAGTCCAGTCCAGCAGGAGGTGGCCGACTGGCCTGGGGGCAGGTCCTGAGGCGGAGCACACGCCCTGCTCCAAGTCCCGGCTGCGGGGCCGCCCCCTGCTGGGCAGGGAGACCCTGTGTCAGCAGGCCCCGCCAGTCCTTGGAGGCCTTTTTCCATGAACTCGTTTTCCAAGTTGAGGGGCTCTGGGCCGGCTGACACAGTTCACGTCTCTTCTGATAACAGCCTTTCCCCTCTTGCAGCCGACCGCACCTGGGCAGTGTCCCCGACTTCAGGTTCCCCCTGGCGGACGGCCCCACGGACACCTACAGCAGCAGCGCGGTGTTGCGGCGCCCCCAGAAAGGCCGTGCGGCCGCCCTGCGAGACGAGCCTTCCAAGGCAAGGATCCCTGTCCCCCATGGGCCCTTGTGGGGACCCCCCCCGCCCCAGCCCACTCCAGCGTCACCTGCCTTTTCTCTGGCCATGAGGCTGCTCTGGAGCTAAACTGCAGAGAGGCTGCTTTCTCTTTCCCTTCCCCCATTCTCCTTTTGCTGGCTAAGAATTTACTTTTTAAGGCTCTTTTTGTTTCTCTTTAAAGAGTAGAAATGTTGAATAATAAGATAGGACCTCCTGCTGAGCACAGCATGATGCTGATTAGTACGGTTTTGAAACGTTAATGAAGTAAATGAATGCGTGTATTCGTTCTTAAGTAAAAGAACATATTTGGAAGTTTAAGTACTTCCATACTTTTGTTTTGCTCAGTATATCTTTACATACTGGTGCATATTCTGAGCAGTGATGGTCATTGAACATCTGGCTTGGGCCAGACACCATCCTAGACCTAGGGCTGCAGCATGACTGAAAAAACTAGATGAGGGGCCCCCGGGGGCCCCCTCGGTCAAGCATCCGACTCCTGATTTCGGCTCAGGTCACGATTGCTCAGTTTTTGAGATCGCTCAGTTTTTGAGATCGAGTCCCGCAGCTCCGCATCGGGCTCTGTGCTGACCACGTGTGGAGCCTGCCTGGGATTCTCTCTCTCTGCCTCTCCCCCCCTTAAAAGAAGAAAATTTTAGAAAGTAAAATAAAGAGCCGGATGAGGGGCCTGCGCTGCCCAGTGTAGTGAGGAGAGACCAGCGGTGAATGGAAAGCAGCAGGCGCTGTGCGTGTGGGTCACCTGTTGCTGTCTGACAGATTCCTGACAGATCACTGCACGGGGTAGTGGCTTAGAACGAGCATGTGGCAGTTCACCATTTCTAGGAACTTCGGGGGGTCTTGGCTCAGGGTCTGTGAGGTTGTGTCTTACCTGCTGGGGCAGGGCTGGAGGGTGCGCTGCGGGCTCCCCTGCCTGGTGCGGGGGGGAGACCTCAGGCCCTCGCCACATGGCCCTCCGCGGGCTTGGCTGTCCTCACGGAGCGGCAGCGGCTTCCCCAGAGCTGGGGTGGGGAGAGGCAGGATGGAGGCCCCGAGCCTCGGCTGCATCGTCCCGCGAGCTGCACGCCTTCACGTCTGCCGCATTCTGCTCGTGAGAGCCGCGGAGCCAGCCTGCTCAGGGTCGATGGGAGCAGCGAAGGGCTCGTAGCCATGGTTTGAAACCAGCACAGACTGTGTCAGGTTGTAATAAGCAGGGAGAGGAACTTGGGGGTGCCCAGTTGTGGGAGGAGGCGGTGGCCAGGGGGGTATCACCAGGAGGGTGACGTTTGAGCAACGACCGGAAGGAGGGAAGTAGTCGTGCAGATAGATCACAAGGTCCTGCCAGCAAGAGGTGCAGACGGATGGGACATAGAGCATGAGAGAGGGTGACAGGCCGGGGGCCGAGGGGTGGGGCCAAGGGGGCACGTCAGGTGAGCTCCAGCCCAGGCCTTAGGAGGCCTCGACTAGAGAGAAGGATTGGGGCCAGGGAGGCACCTTGAGGCCCGGCCCTTCCAGTGTGGCTGCGGGACGCGGAGGCGGAACTGGCGGCCGCAGGGGCGGGGCCCAGTGACATGTGCTCGGGGAAGGTGGGGGGCGAGGACCCTGGTGGCCTAGTCCAGGAGCAGCTGTGCTGGAGCCTCTCGCCCGAGTTCCAGAGTCTGTGTAGACAAAATAAGGCCAGCTTTCTGGAGAACTTGAACTCCGCCTGGGAGCAGAGATGCGGTGGTAGCGGGAAGAGGCAGGGCCAGAGGCTCTGTGGTTTCTGTCTTGTCATTTTGGAGGGAGAAGGGAAAGCGTTGGAAGTTGATCATCCAGAGAGAGGGCGGATGATGTCCCTGAGCAAGGCGAGGGTTTGCGCCCACAGGTGGGGTGTCCCGGGAGCTGGGGGGGCGGGCAGGGGGCAGGAGTGCCGCCGCTCGCACACATGCCCTGTCCGCGTGCACTGTGCTCACGTGCGCCCTCCCCCCTCGGGCCAGGGGGTCGGGGCCCAGCTGTGGGGGCACCTCTGCCACGGGAGGGCGGCCCCGAGAGGAGCAGGGTGCTCCTGCGTCCTCTGTGCTCCTCCTGCTCGGTCACACCTCCTCGGGAAGGGCGGGCGGGGGCGCCCCAGGGGCTGCACACCCCTGCCTGGAACAGTAGCAAGCAGGGCGGCAGAAGCCAATGGCTTTGTAGCTGCCCCCGGGGGCGACTGACTGGCACCCACGTGTTCTTTTACTTGGGTTTGTTTCTGATCTGGCCACCCCACCACGGGAGTGATGTCACAGGGACGCCTCGCGTCCTGGTAGCCGTGGGCGTTGCAGGGCGGTCTCCGTGGAGGCCACCGTCCTCACCGGTGCCCTGCACGCTGCCACCTGCATACACATCAGCGGCTTGTAAGACGGCGTGTCCCCAGCTTCTTCTGGCTTCTGCTGGAACACTGTCCAGTTCCTGCGAGATGTCTTGTAAGTTCCTCTGATTGCTGCTGTCACTTCCCACCCTTGCTGAGACGGGGTCCCCTGTGCGCAGGTGCAGACTCTGAACGAGCAGGACTGGGAGCGAGCGCAGCAAGCCAGCGTGCTGGCAAACGTGGCGCAGGCGTTCGAGAGTGACGTTGACGTGTCTGATGGCGAAGACGACGGGGACACGCTCTTCAGTCCGGCTGCTCTGCTCTCCCCTGGCGGGCAGGCCGACGCGCAGACGCTGGCCATGATGCTTCAGGAGCAGCTGGACGCCATCAACAAGGAGATCAGGTATGCGTGGCCGGGCACGGCACCGGGGATGACGGTGTCTCTGAGGAATCGTGTCGCTCAGGAACGAGTCCCCCGAATGCTTTCTGAGCATTCCGTGATCATAAAACCCTTTGAGTTCATTTTAAGCATATTGTGCGGTTGCTCTAGGTTATAGGGTTCAGATCACCAGGGCGTGTGTCCACAGGGGTGGTGTCGGTGAGCTCATGTAAGATGTGAGGCAGGATGGAGGGCACTGACGGCACAGCCCGAGAGGGTTGCAGGGGCACCTGGCAAGCACCTGCCATGCTCCCGGGGTCAGCCGGGGTGTGGAGAGCCACGGGCGCATCGGGGACGCCTCCCTGATCCGTGGTGCAGAGGGAAGGCGTGTGGGGCGGGCGCCATGGAGGGTGGGAAGATGTGGAGCGGCCGGCATACCCACTGGTGGGTAGGGAGGAGCAGGGGTGTTTGACGGGGCAGGTGATGGGGGACATAGGGGAGATGTCAGCTCAGCGCACCAGCAAGCGGAAGGTGAGGGAGAGAGCATCCCGTCCACCCCTGTCCAGCCCAAGCGTCACCTCACCCTGCACCCCACAGCGGGTGAGCTGCCGAGGCAGCCGGTGTCCACCTGCCACGGGCGCATCCCCAGCCCCGGATGGAGCCAGCTGGTGTCACACACAGGAGAGCTCAGGGTTTTGGGTTGGCACGTTCCCACTCATGCTTGCGTTTTACTCCCTGAACGTAACGTGTCAACATTGGTCCGTTGTAGAGCAGCAGGTGCTCAGTGGGTGTGTATTTGAGTCATTCTAGGCTCGTCGCTGTCTCCAGGGTGTTTTCCTCCTAGCAGTTATGGTAGCGAGTTTACAAAGCTCCGGGCCTGTGGAGGGAAGAGAATTCAGAGCCCGGCCCGCATGGAGATGGAGGTGACGGGGTAGGCAGGACAGGGGGCCCGGGGGGCCTGAGAGCCGCTCTGTCTGGGAGGCCTGAGGCCACGTGGGGAGCGGACACGTGCCAGTGACCCTGCGGTGGATCCGGGTAGTCACTGTCCACGTGTTGTTCTTGGGAAGCTAGCACGGGCAGACGTGCCCCTTCCTGCCTGCAGCGAGCTGGTGGCGAGGACAGGGACGCTGGCGGGAGAGGCAGGCGGAACTGTGGGCTCTGTGGAAGTCTCCCCTCCTCCTTTGCCCTCCCCCCCCCATCAACCTGGGAGACAGAGAGGGCCCACACATCAGCCTTGCTTTTCGGTAGCGTGTAGCCAGCTAAAAGTGATTTTTCTTCATGCAAGTTGAACAGATAGAAATGATCAGGCCTGTCCAGCGGCTTGTTATCCATAACAAAATAAGCGCTCGGGTGTTGTAAACAGAACTTCGCTTGGAAAGGTTGCTGCGTGGATCCCCTGTGTTAACGCTGGGATAACCAGCCACAGGGGCAGATACCGAGAGCGCTGTTTCCTGACGCACGTACGTGAGTGGTGAAGAGCGTTCACGCTGTGTTCCAAATTAACGGAGTGAAGTTAGCTTGAATCCAGAAATTCAGATGAGGCTGGTGGAAAATTCCAACAAATAATACTTTGAGTGCGCCCTTAAAAATGTCAACTCAACATCTTCATCAAGTCCGGAGACTTCTGCGTTGGGGAACGCAGTCGCTCTGTGCATCGGTTCTTTGATTATGTCAGAGTTCCTGATTTCCAGGTGAAAAATAGGCCCATAAATGTGTCTTAGAATTGGGGAGGGAGCAGTTGGACACGTCACAGCCCCACGTACCCAAGAGCTGGCAGTGAGCAGGGCGCGAGGTCAGACGTGGGGGGGGTGGGAATCACCCTTACGGGGCTCCGTGCCAGTCACCTTGTGTTGCACTGAAATCGGGCACAGGGAAAAGATAAGAAAAAGTAGAAGGGTCTTAAAGCACGGTTTGGCACAGCTGTCCTTGGAGTTCACTGACCTCCGTGTGCGCAGTGTGGGAGCGAGGACAGACTTGTCACGCGGGTGCGTCCACAGGTGAAGAGTGACCTGTTTGCTTTCGTTGTAGGCTCATACAAGAAGAGAAGGAGAGCACGGAGCAGCGGGCGGAGGAGATTGAGAGCCGAGTGGGCAGCGGCAGTTTAGACAGTCCCGGTCGTTTTAGGCCGGCGGGCTCCGGCCCCCCGCACCCCGCGTCCACACTCGTGGGCCCCTCCCCTCCACACAGCGGGCGCTCCACCCCGCGGAGGGGCCCGCACAGCCCCGCCAGGGAGGTGGACAGACTGGGGGTCATGACTCTAGTGAGTATTTGCCTCTTCTCCCTGCGGCGCCTCCCCCACCCCAGCACCCGCCTTAAGCCCCAGACACTACGAATGTGGTTTTGTCCCGTGTTTCACCCAGAAGGAAATCCGGTTGCTGTCACGCTCAGAGGGTTGAGGATTTGTAACACAGACGGCGTTTAAGCGTTCGGCAGTGTCACAGGGACCCGTTAATGGTGCTGGGATGACCGGATTAGCGGTCATCATGAATCCATCAGAGCTTTTATTTGTGTGTAACTTTGGACATGGGCCTGTGCCGGGCACAGCGGCTCCAAGGGGCAGATTCTTGTTTTCTGGGACTCGACAGCTTCACGAGAGTGAAGTGCCCACAGTGTCCCTAGCGTGTAGGAGACGCACAGAGGGAGTCGGTGCGTCAGGGATGCCCAGCAGGAAGGCACAGGGCGCAGTCACAATGCTGAAGTGAAATGAGGCTTAAGTCGGGTCTCTCGAAGATGCACTCGGCCGCGTGCTTGACGCCAGCTCGGGGGTGAGGCCAGCGCGAGCCACACACGTGGACGGCTTCTGGGGGGCACAGGGGCGTCCTTGCGCGTCAGGTATGGGAACGCAGTGACCTTCGGTTCCTGGTGCAAGTGTGCGGCTCTAAAGAAAGTTGTGGAAGGTGGCCGTGTATGTAGCTTGGGCTCCAAGAGCACATCGTCGGCCTCCCACACAAAGTCCTGTTCCCAGCACTGTTCCTGCACGTCTGTCTGTCGGAATCTGTCCGGTCACCGCCCGCTTGCTTCCTAGCTGCCTTGCAGGCCAGCATGTGGTTAGAGCAGCTCGGGGTCACTTCTGTGGCACATGAAGTGGTAACTAGTCCATTTTGTGGTGTTTTGACATAACTGTTTTTATAATTCACCTCATCAGCTAATTAGCTAGTATTTTAAACCCTTTGACGGTCTTATTTGTGGTTTTGTGCTTCTTTCCTCTCAGAGAATTTGTAAGAGTGGTTATGAAAGTGCGCTGTGTGTCGCCCCGTTGTGTTCTGTATGCTGGCTGCCCTTGCGTCTGCCTCCGTGGTTGGTTCTGATTTCCTGTCTCATTCTTTCGTTTGCTGGTCACTATCAGTGCACACCTCAGCCTCGCACCCCTGCCGGTATGTCGTCCCGCCCCCTCTGCTCTCTGCCGTGCCCCCCCCCCCCCGCCCCCAGCATGCTCCCGTGGCCGTGAAACTGTGCTCTGCGGTGTCTGTGGTCAGTCTTGGCTCGCTCATGTCATTGCTCCTTTGTCTGCATTTCTCATTAGATGGCGGGGTTTTTGCCCCAACGGTGACAAATTTTACTTAGCGCGTCACTGTGTAACCCGTGTGGATGAGGGCATGGTACACATGATAATATGTAAACGAAGTGTTTCTTGTGAAGAGGTGAGGCACTGGGCGCAGGCGAGCGGAGGCTGTGTGGTGCCGCTGCCCGTGTTTGGGGCTAGACTCTCATGGGCTTCCTGAGCACCAGGACCGCCTTCCACACAGAAATACGGGACTCCTACGACTAGAGGGGGGTCCACCTGTCATCACGTGTCTGCACAGGGCACCCCCCTTTAACCAGCGGGCTGATCTTCGAAAAGTTTCAAATCAAATTCTAGGTACGGATTTCGCATTCATGTCCAGCAGATCATTAAACAGAGTAGGTTTGTTTGGGGTTATACTGGGTGTTAGGTAACGGCCGGCCGGCTGCGTCCACTCCACTGGGCTGATGCCGTAAATGCGTAACATGGTTTCAACACGGAAAGCAGTTACAGAAAAGTTTAGAATGGACAACTGTTAGATCTCTTTATTATACAGGATGCCGTGTTTTAGTAAGTTGTGTATGCTGTAGTGGAATTTAATCTCCCTGAGAAATAATTTATGCTTTTCCTAGCAAATGTTGAGTAACATATTATGTTTAAATTTGTGGTGGAAAAAAGTTCTATTTTCAATACTGTTGTTTCTAAATCTTATCTCAGCTATATCCGTTCTGTTGTTCTTTTTAAAATATATTTGCCTGTTCTGGTCCTTGAACATGTAACTCCGGAGTGTGCAGTAAATCTGATTTCTCTTCATTTCTTTGCATGCCTCTGTCAGCCTAGTGATTTAAGGAAGCATCGTAGAAAGGTAAAGTGTTTAGTAGTGTGCCCTACCTGTGTTTGTCTGTGGCGTAAGTAGAGTGCCCATCGCTTTGCAGAGAGGGCACTGTGGCTGGGTGACGGTGAGCAGCTGGCCCGTCCCGGCATGCCCTGGAGCCACTGGGTGCTCAGGTGTGGCAGCTGGTTTCCATGGCGCCTGCGAAAGATGCTAGAGCTCGCCTTTCTCATTTGTCTCTTCCTCACTGTGTAGTTACACGTGATATAGAAGTTTCTAGAAAAAGGACTGAAGCAGAGCCAGGGATCTTAGATTTGGGGATTACCAGTTTTGACAGTCCTAGCCAGCAGCGTTCAGGTTGCTCTGAGAGACCACTGGCTGCTGTGTGGAGCACTTCGGGAGTTCGTTACCTCGCCCTCACATACCCCCTGCGAGCCATGGATTGTATGGTGACCCCACTTTCCAGGTGTGGAAACCGAGGCCACAGTGCTGTGCCAACACTGGCCACATCACCACTCTGCCACCCAGCCCACCTTTGCTCAGGTGCCTTCTCTCCTGCACAGTGTCCGGGCTAGGGCGGGGCACCTCCTTGGTCCAGAGGGCTGTGACTTGGGTGTCCCCATTCTCAGGGGACATGCCATGCCTCAGGACGGAGCCCTTGAGCAGAGCGTCTTTCTCATAACTGGGATGCTTTGCTCCCTGGACCCTGCCCCTGTCCCAGATGTGCCCGGCCACGCACTGACAGGGCTGTCTCTCGGATAGGGGCTGGGCGGCCACGGTGGGAGCCCTTCCACTGCGCAGAGCCATGTGGCCGTATAGTTCAAGTGCCAGCTCTGTCACTGGTGGCTCTGTGACCTGGGTGTGTGAATCACCCTCTTTGTGCCCTGGTTTGCTCTCCTGTTAAGTGAGGACAGTGATGGCACCATGGTCCTCAGGGCAGCCACAGACTGTCACCGTCGGTGCACGTTCCACAAACCAGGAGCTCACACTGGCACCTGGGCATAGAGCACGCCCTGCAGTGTGCAGGCTTATGTTTGCGTTTTCTTCAAAGGAAGGGAAGGGCATGGGATGAACCCCCAGGCAGAGAGCCTGCTCCTGGAGCTCGCCAACAGCTACTTGGAGGGCTCTTCGGGGGGCGTGAAACCAGGTGTGTGTGCAGAGGGTGTCAGGTCGGTGTAGACAGGGCCAGCAGAGACCATGCACCTCCCGGAGCCCCCTGGCCTAGTTGAGACTGAAACTGCCCCACATAGGCACTGGCCTGGGGGACCCTAGAGTGGGGCGGGGCTTGCCTGTGGACTGGGATGGGGTGGGCGGGGCTTGTGGGTGGGTGGGGCTGAGAGTGGGCAGGGCTTGCGCCCGGAACCTGCCCTCTCTGCCATTCTCATAGCCCTGTCTTGAATGTAGCTCCCCATCCTTACTTCTTGTTGTTCTATAGATGCTTGCTTTAACCTGGATTTGAGATCTGTCCCTGTTATCGAAGTCTGTCCCTGTTAGGTTTTATGCTGGTAATTTCTGGCCAGTTAGAGTAGCCTTTTGTAGTGTGATAGGTACGGTGGGACATCAGGAGAGGATGCGGGAGCCCTGCAGCTGTCGGTTAAGGTTGTGGCTTCCCTGAGCTCAGCTCCTCTTGGTGCTGACCCGCGGGGGTGTCCCAAGCTCCACGCAGCTGTGGCGGTCCTGCTACAAACACAGCCAGCTGTGTGGGCCATTGTTCATATGTGAGATCCAGCCCCGCCCTCAGCCACCAGGACCTGCCAGGGGTGAAAGTGCGCACCCCACGGCCCGCAGCGAAAGCTGCACACGCACACCCCATTTCAGAAAGAAAAACGGGGGTCCAGAGGGGGTCACCTTGCTGTGACGGCAGCGCAGGGTCACTTTGTCTCCACCGTCTCAGAGAAGTCTTTCAGTTGATAACGTCCATCTAGTGTCACTGAGAAACAGAAGTCAGACCCGAGGGTGGGGTGGGGAGGGGGAGTCGGGTGTCTTCTCACTTTACGCCCGTCCTCGTAGATTCCAGGGTTCACATTGTTACCGGAAGGGATGCTGGATTAGGGCACAAGCTAGTTCCTTTTCCCCCTAAACAAAGAGTGTTGGACAGTTTTGCATGGGAAGGTTCTGTGCTCAGCAGTGTGTGTTGTGAACAGCATCAGGAAACAGCACCTTCCTCCTCAGCCTGCCGTGGTTCATGGTGATGTGGTTCAGGGTTTGGTTCGGGTCTGGGCCACTGCCTTCCGTGGCCGTACTCACGGTGACGTGGGGTTCTGGGGAGGGTGAGCCCGCTCGGTACAGATGGGCCAGGCTCTTGGCGGCCAGCTGCTTGGACGCGAGGCTGCCATGTAGCCCAGCGTTACGCTGACACTAACAAAGTGTTTTGGATGGTGCAGAACGTGCAGCTCGTCGCTTTTCAGATGAGTTCGTGACTGTGATTTAAGGGCTGTGTGCCCGCCTGCCCTGGCCCATGGCTAACTCGTGTCCCCCCTCTCCACCCCACAGTTGCCGGCTTCGCGTGAAGAGGTACGAGATGACAAGGCAACGATAAAATGTGAAACGTCCCCTCCTTCCTCCCCGAGGTCCCTGCGCTTGGACAGGCTGCACCAAGGGGTGCTGCACGCAGCCAGCCACGAAGACATCAGGGATGCCAGAAAGTAAGGGGCGCGGGCACCGCAGGGCTCATGTCAGTGGGCTGCTTTTCAGCTCCGAGAAACTTCTGACTTCTTCCTGGGGAAGAAAGGGCCGGAACAAGGGTTCTGAAGAAACGCCAGTGAACTGAGTTTATGTGCATGATGTTCCTGGGGCGCCTGCCAGGGCTCGGGGGACGTGGCCGCCAGGGTGGAAGTCCTCTGGGAAAGATTGGACGGAGTCGGTGGTGCAGGTGGCCGTGGGGCGGCCTCATGTCCTCAGATCCTACACCCCGGCCATGCTGAGCCCTCCCCTCTGCTCCCGCTGGAGCCTGTGCGAGTGTTCCTAATGGCTCCTCCCCTGTGTCGTGCTCTGTGCCCCGTGAGACTGTTGGGAGCCGTCCTCCCACCCCGGCAGCTCCAGCGGCCGCTCTGTTACTCTCACGCGGCGTCCCGGCTGGCTCTGGTGGTGCGTGTGCTCCACGCTCCCGGGTCACAGCCAGGAATGGCTGGGCTGCCAAGCTTTCTCGCCTCAGGGGGCTTGGAGTCCAGGCCTTCCTGGGAGGGGGAGATCATCAGCATCAGCCTCCCCGGGGGCGGCCCTCCCCAGGAGCTGGGGCCTGTGCTTCTCACTCGCGTGGGGACTCGCAGGGGGCACTGTGTCCTGTGCGGAGCACTCGTTGAAGAGACTCTCCCATCCCCCAGCTCAACAGGCTCCCAGGATGGCCCCGTGAGCAACCCCAGCAGCAGCAACAGTAGCCAGGACTCGCTGCACAAAGCCCCCAAGAAGAAGGGCATCAAGTCCTCCATCGGACGCTTGTTCGGCAAGAAAGAGAAGGGTCGCCCCGGCCATACTGGCAAGGAGCCTGCGGGACCAGGTTGGTGTCCCATGCGTGGCTCCCGCATGCATCGTTCCTTCAGAGCCGTGATCGCTCTGCCTACAGACCCCTCCCCCCAGCAGGAGACCCTCCCGTGGCCTGTTGACCCCCCCCTCCCATTTCATCTCTCTGCTTCCCCGCAGCTGCCGTTTCGGAGGCGGAAAACTCCTCTCAGGATGCGTTGGGACTCAGCAAATTGGGCGGACAGGCTGAAAAAAATCGTAAACTTCAAAAAAAGTAAGCGTTCTGCTGTTTGCCATCTTACTGAGCGCTCTTCAGCGGTACCGGGTGTAAACAGTGGCTGCTTGTTAAGTGGACTCGGTAGCTGCAAAGAGGTGTTGTCTCATCCTGGCTGGCCATGGGGCCCTTGCTAAGCTGTGCGTCCTGGAGGGCTGAGAGCACGTAGGAAGGCTTGAAGGGGCCCCGGGGATTCCCAGTCCACCTTGACGGGTTGTCCGGGGAGGAGGTGTGGCTCACGTGCGGGCGTGACCTCAGAGCACTTGGCTGTGAGCCCCGGCTCCTGCACAGATCGGTTTGGGGCTCTGGGAAAGCTACTTATCAGCGTTCCTGTGCCTCCGTTTTCTCACCTGTAAACGCAAACAACGGGAGCCCTTCTGTCACGTGGCCTTTACGAGTGTCTGTACATAAATATCGATGAGGGAGTTTAACCACGGAGGCTCTATAAGCGGATATGTAACTGCATCCCCCGTGAGGACTGGGTCACCAGCACCCAGAACCTGCCACTCATGCTACCGATCTCTCGGGAGTATCCTATGTCGCTCTTCTTTTTCCTTCCCTCATAGGTTTTGAGTTTTTGTCTTAAATAGACTCTGAGCTTTGCAGTCTATTCACTACATCTTATTTTTTAATTGTCTTGATTCTGAAACAAGTAATAGCAGCGGGTGGTGCTTCCTACAAAGGAGCTCAGGCGCCGTGATGCCCGGGAGGAGGGCCCAGGGGAGTGGTACGGGCACAGCTCCCTGGGACTTCCTGCCGCAGAGCAGGTCGGTGTCGGATGGCTGAGTCCCAGAGCAGAGTGTAGACAAACGAGGCGGGTTGGGACCACATCCCGGTGATATGACAACTGAAAAATACAAGTGAGCCCTCTCAACAGAAGAGCTGGTCTGCGGTCTAGCGGGGCGGAGCAGGGCGGGAGCCCAGGACGCTCGGTGGGGCTGGTGGGGCCGGCGGGACAGGGCCTTGAGCCGGGGCAGAACTCGCTGGGCTCCGCGGTGACCCTGACAGCGGGTGAGGCGTCTGGCCGCCCTCGAGCGCCCCGAGAGCTGGCGCGGTCTGGAGCCGGTTCCCCTTCAGCCCCTGGAGTTGTCCATTGGTTTTTCTTTAAATCTGCCTCATTTCAGTCCTTTTCTCAGCAGTCAGTAATGACCGTGACCGCACACCCTGGGTGACTTCAGGGGAGATGCTGTTACTCTGTCACTGCTCACGATACCACAGGAACACTCAGGCTTTCCGTTCCCTGGGAATGGAAATTTGTAGAAACCGCTTAACAACGGTCTCATTTGAATGTTCCTATCTTTGAACCATATAAAAGTGTTTTAACCTAACTTGGAGAGGTGCCATTTGCGCATGTGAAATTTAATACTGAAAGAAGGCGTTTTGCTCCTGGAACCATGCTAGGAAAGTTCTGTCCCTTAGATGTTGCTGATGTGTTTTATTTCACAGCCGTATACTTTCTGTAACGTGAGCAGGAAGACTTGTGGCAGTGCCCCGTGGCTCTCCCACCCCCCTGCTCCCAGAAGTGTGTATTTCACATAGGATCAGAAGGAGTATAAATTGGCCACAATGTTTCATAATGTTTCACTCTGTTTGCTACATTGACTTTGTCATCCTCAGGAGGTGTGCTTAAGTATGTGACCATAGGTGGACAGCTGTGATTGAGTTATTTGCCCCCGCATGTGATTAAGTGTCACAGAGTGTGTGGAGGTAGCGGTCTCTGGAGCTGAGGTGCCACGTGGCTGGCTCTGGTTCAGTATTACTGTAGCTGTAACCGCGTGTCTGACAGGGGGTCATTCTCTGGACTCTATGGTCACGCACAGCAAGTTCTAGAACATACGGCTGACACTTGAGCAGCAAGGGTTTGAATATAAGGTCCACTTAGCAGATTTCTTTAATAAATATAGTACTGTAAACATATTTTCTCTTATTTATGATTTTCCTAAAAACATTTGTCTTGCTCTATGAGAGAATACAGCATATACGTGTAATGTATAAAATACGTGTTAACTGGCTATTACTGGTAAGACTTCTGGGTACAGTGGGCTGTGAGGAGTGAAGTTTTCAGGGAGTCAAAAGTTGTACTTAGATATTCAAGAGCAGTGCTTTGCGTGGATGGCAGAGGCGTGGTGGTGAGGTAGAGCCCCGTTCACCTCCATTCAGAGAGGCCTAGTAGCGTTGGCAGTGTCGGCCTCAGGAGATTGAGTCTCAGTGATGTCCACGGTCGTGTCATATTTGATGGGCAGAGGCTCACTCGCTTCTTGTTATGAAAGACCACTTCGCCGCCGTGTTTATGTCCTACCCGTGAGAGGTGTGTTGTCAGTCGCAGGTTACGTGACCTCATACGTGTGCCTGCTGCCCGTAGAATTCAGCAGATGTCCGGATGTCTTTCTCCTGTGGCTCTAACTGTGAGGCTGGGAAGCGCCCCGCATAAGTTTTCGATAGGAGCAGACGTTTGGAAAATCACAGGTGGTGCCGAGAATTGGGTCCTTGACGGAGATCAGGCCCCCACTAAGTAGGCCTGGTCCCTGGCAGTCAGAGCGTTCATCCATTTTACCCCACAGAAGAGGCAGACTTCTATAGATTGGGGGGGCGGGGGGGGGGGGCGCGCACAGCAGGGAATGTGGCCTCAGAAAGCAGAGGAAGGAAGTAAATAACTGCAAAAGTCAGATGACTCTTCATGCCGGCTTGTGACTCTGGTTCCTCGGTGCAAAGTTAGGTGCTAGGGGCCGATTGAAAATGCAGAGAGGCGAGGGGCACCTGGGTGGCTCAGTCAGTTAAGCGTCCGATTTCAGCTTAGGTCATGATCTCGCAGTTTTTGAGTTTGAGCCCCACATTGGGCTCTGTGCTGACGTCTCAGAGCCTGGAGCAACTTTGGATTCTATGTCTCCCTCTCTCTCTACTCCTCCCCCCACCCAAATAAACATTAAAAAAAGGAAAAAAGAGTCTAGGGCCCAATGACTTTCCAAGGGAATTGTACCAAACATTTAAGGAAGTGTTAACACCTACTCTCTTGAAGCTGTTCCACAAAATAGAAATGGAAGGAAAACCTCCAAACTCTTCCTTTGAAGCCAGCATTACCTTGACTCCAAAACCACACAAAGGCCCCACTCAAAAGGAGAACTACAGACCAATTTCTCTGATGAACATGGATGCAAAAATCTTCAACAAGATACTAGCCAGCCAGATCCAACAATACATTAAAAAAATTATTGACCACCACCAAGTGGGATGTATACCTGGGATGCAGGGCTGGTTCAATATCTGCAGAACAGCCAGTGTGATTCTTCACGTCCATAAAAGAAAGGACAAGAACCACCCGATCCTCTCAATAAATGCAGAGAAAGCATTTGGCAAAATACAGCCTCCCTTTTTGATACAGACTCTCAGGAGAGTAGGGATAGAAGGTTCATACCTGGAGATCATAAAAACCATCTATGAAACACCCAACACTAATATCCTCAGTGGGGAAACACTGAGAGCTCTCCCCCTAAGGTCAGGAACACGACAGGGATGTCCACTCTTGCCACTGTTATTCTCATAGTTTTGGAAAGTCTCAGCCTCAGCAGTCAGACAACATAAAGAAATAAAAGGCATCCAGATTGACCAGCAGGAGATCAGATTTTCACTCTTTGCAGACGACATGTACTTTATATGGAAAACCCAAAAGATTCCACCAAAAAACCTCTAGAATGGATCTATGAATTCAGCAAAGTTGCAGGACATAAAATTGACATACAGAAATCAGTTGTGTTCCAGGGGCCTGGGTCGCTCAGTTGGTTAAGTGTCCACCTTTGGCTCAGGTCATGATCTCATGGTTCATGGGTTTGAGCCCCGTGTCGGGTTCTGTGCTGACAGCTCAGAGCCTGGAGCCTGTTTCGGATTCTGTGTGTGTCTCTCTCTCTGCCCCTTCCCCCACCCATGCTCTGTCTCAAAAGTAAATTAACTATTAAAAAAAAAATCAGTTGCATCCATCCATACACAACGGTGAAGCAACAAGAAGTGAAATAAAGGAATTGATCCCTTTTACAATTGCACCAAAAACCATAAAATACCTAGGAATAAATCTAACCAAAGAGGTGAAAAATCAATACACTGAAAACTATAGAATGCTTATGAAAGAAATTGAAGAAGACATAAAAAAATGGAAAAATATTCCATGCTCCCAGATAGGAAGAACTAATATTGTTAAATTGTCAATACTTCCCAAAGCAATCTACATATTCAATGCAATTCCTATCAAAATAACACCAGCATTCTTCCCAGAGCTAGAACAAACAATCCAAAAATTTGTAGGGAACCAGAAAAGACCCTGAATGGCCAAAGTAATCTTGAAAAAGAAAACCAAATCTGGAGGCATCACAATCCCAGATTTCAAGCTGCGTTACAAAGCTGTAATCATCAAGACAGTATGATACTGGCATAAAAACAGACACTCAGATCCATGGAACAGAATAGAGAACCCAGAAATGGACCCACAGATGTATGGCCAACTCCTCTTTGACAAAGCAGGAAAGAATATCCAATGGAAAAAAGACAGTCTTTTCTACAAGTGGTGTTGGAAAAACGGTTTTCAGCAACATGCAGAAAAATGAACCTGGACCACTTTCTCACACCATATGCAAAAATAAGCTCAAAATGGATGAAAGACCTAAATGTGAGACAGGAAGCCATCAAAATTTTTGAGAAGAAAGCAGGCAAGAACCTCTTTGACATTGGCCACAGCAACTTTTTACTCAATACAAGTTTCCAGAGGCAAGGCAAACAAAAGCAAAAATGAACTGTTGGGGACCTCATCAAGATAAAAAGCCTTTGCACAGTGAAGGAAACAATCAGCAAAACTAAAAGGCAACTGATGGAATGGGAAAAAATATTTGCAAATATATCAGGTAAAGGGTTAGTATCTAAAATCTATAAAGAACTTATCAAATTCAACACCCAAAAAACAAAGATTCCAGTGAAGAAATGGGCAAAAGACACGAACAGACACCTCTCCAAAGAAGACGTCCAGATGGCCAACAGACACAGGAAAAGATGCTCAACATCACTCATCATCAGGGAGCTGCAAATCAAAACCACAATGAAATACCACCTCACAGCCATCAGAATGGCCGACATTAACAACTCAGGCAACGACAGATGGCGGCGAGGATGCGGAGGAAGAGGCTCTTCTGCGCTGCTGGTGGGAATGCGAACTGGTGCGGCCGCTCTGGAAACAGTGTGGAGGTTCCTCAAAAAATGAAAAAGAGAACTGCCCTGTGACCCAGCAACTGCACCACTAGGTATTTATCCAAGGGATCCAGGAGCGCTGTTTCGAAGGGGCACGTGCATCTCAGTGTTTACAGCAGCGCTATTGACAACAGCCCGTGTTTGGAAAGAGCCCAGATGTCCATCAACAGATGAATGGATAAAGAAGATGTAATATATATATATACATACAATGGAATATTACTTGACCATCAAAAACAATGAAATCTTGCCATTTGCAACTACTTGGATGGAAGTAGAGGGTATTATGCTAAGCGAAATTAGTCAGAGAAAGACAAATATCATATGACGTCACTTATATAAGGACTTTAAGACACAGAACAGATGATGGGCACCTGGATGGCTCAGTCAGTTAAGCGACTGACTTCAGCTTAGGTCATTATCTCGCTGTCTATGAGTTTGAGCCCCATGCAGGGCTCTGTGCTGACAGCTCAGGGCCTGGAGCTGCTTCACATTCTGTGTCTCCCTCTCTCTGCCCCTCCACTGCTCATGCTCTGTCTCTCTCTCTCAAAAATAAATAAACGTGAAAATAAAATTTAAAAAAAGATGGAACAGATGAACATAAGAGAAGGGAAGCAAAAATAATATAAAAACAGGGAAGGGGAGAAAACGTAGATTTTTAAATACGGAGGGCAGACAGGTCACTGGAGGGGTTGTGAGGAGGGCTACCTGGGTAAGGGGTGTTAGGAAGTCTACTCCGGACATTATTGTTGTGCTGTATACTGAGTCGGACATAAATTCAAAAAAAGGAAAAATATGCAGAGAAGCGTTAGATCAGAGTCCCGCCTCTTCAGTCCCCTGTTTCAGTCTTTGGAACTCGTGGCAGAATTTTACTTTCTGGAAAATTGACCTGTGCAGGCACACCTCACGTCCTCACGGTAAACCGTTAGCCAGCTGCCTGCTTGTTTCTGTAGGTTGTGGTCCAGAAGGAGAAAAATGATGGTTCTGTCCATCGCTGGAGTGACCGTGTGGGGACACGGGCAGGGTGGTAAGGTGGACATAGTGCTTGGTTCACCCCAGTCACAGGTGAAGGGGGCTGGCCGGCCGCAGTGGCAAGCAGCAGAAACCCGTTTCCTAGACCAGGCGAGGAAGGGGGTGTGTGTGTGTTCACAGAGGCAAGCGGACGCGAGGGCGGCTCAGCACCCGGCGCTCCGTCTCCTCTGCTCACGGGCGGGGGGCACTGACCCCCAGGAGAAGGAAGGGGTGTGGGTGTTTCCTACCCGGTCTGTTCGGTGATTAGCCCCTGGGCCGGGGACTGGCCTGATGGGGGACGGAGCCCAGTGGAGACCGAGACCTGGGCTGGCTGCCCAGTGGGCGCTCCACACTCTTGCTCACGACGCCAGAGTCTTTTGGCGTCACAGCCCCGTCTCTACTGCCTTGTCACGGTCCCAGGAGGACCGTGGGCCTGCGCGCTGAGCCGCAAGTGCACCTGACCCAGAAAAGGCTTTTCGTAAACAAATGGCCGCCGCCAGGAGGAAGGTGAGGGTAAAGTCAGAGTCATAGGCACCAACCTCCAGGTAGTGGGGTTAATGGACTGTTTATAACCCTCTGGTCCCTGTTTACAGTGAACATCTGTTTGAAGGGGTTTTTTGGGGGTTTTTTTGAGGTAGGCTCCACACGCAGTGTAGGGCTCAGTCACGACCCTGAGCTCAGGGGTCCTGTCAGGTGCCCCTAAATGCCTGTTTCATATTAAAAGACAAAGTGTGGCAGAGCGCCGTGAATTCGGTTGCCGTTCCATTCACTTTCAGAGTGCGGGGCCTCTGAGAGCACCCCAGGCCCTGCAACACAGCTGTGCGCCCCTTCCGTGGCCAGCTGGGCTGCTGGGGACTGAGCCCCTGACCGCGCTTTCGGAGCTCAGGTCTCTCCCTGCCCGTCTGCCCAGAACGATCCGAATTGTGTGTACAACTCACATGGCGCGGCTTATGTATGTGTTCCTGTAAGATGTGGCCACTGTCGTTGACCGTGTGTCCTTAGGACACAGAAAGCGGCATTTAATTGAGCACATTGATGGCTTATTCCACCCAGCGAGGGAGGCCTGTCTCCCTCCTCCTTATTCCATCCAGTGTGGGCTCCCCGTGTTAGGCTGACCACAGCCCCAGCAGACTCCGTTTCATTCTTGTGTGTGAGTAGCTCCGCTGCTGATTTCAGTGAGAGAAATTTGCCTTTTTTTTTTTTCCCCTCCAGCTATTAAGATCCATTGCATCTTGGGGCACCTGGCTGGCTCAGTCAGTGCAGCATGTGACTCGATCTCAGGGTCTTGAGTTCAAGTCCCACATTGGGCATAGACTTTACTTCCAAAAAAAAAAAAGATTTGTTGTACCGTCTGGAATAATCCTTCCTACATCATTAGAACATTTATTACCCCGGGAAACCCAAGGCTGACTTCATGAACACTTCCTTGAATGTTTACGTGAAACATTTTGAGCTTTAATTGTACGTAGAGTTTAGTCTTAAGAAAAATCTACTACTGATTCAGTATATGCAAGAGCCGATGTGGAGATTCAAGGCTGTGTTCTGCGGAAATTATTAAAGCAAATCCACACCGTAGGTGACCCAGGGATTTAAATCTTCAGTCCCACCCACCTTCTCTTCAAGGCTTTTCACTTTAAGAAAGAATCCGGGTCTTTCAAAAAGCCTTGTAAGTACACAGCATGAAAGACTGAGATGAGATTCCTAAAGCTTTGTGTTGTCGCCTGCGTAACTATGTCAGCAGTAGACAGTCATTGTTAAAGATGTTGAGATGGTAAAGTTATGGTTTGGGTATTTTACAACTGGGCAGACAGAATATTTCTGATCCGTTAAGCATCCCAGGATGGCTTCCTGCTCACCACCCTGTGGGTGTTGGCTTGTGACCATATCTCGGTCTCACCGGGTGCTCTGTGTGCACTGGCACACGTGGTTGGGAGTTGAGGTTTCTAGGACTGAAGCCTGTGGGTTAAACCATGGGACCACCCAGCGTCTTAACTTAGCAATTACCCGTATTAGACTGAATTGCCGAGTAGAATAGAGAGCACCAGAGTCCCGCGCATTCCTTACTTGCACAGCATACCGTTACTGGCATTAAACTCTGTGCTGTTCCGTGTTGCTGTCGTCACTGCGGACGTTCCCTCACAGAGGCCCTTCCCTTAGACGCGGGGGCAGCGCCTTCCTGCAGTTTTCCTTGTTACTCAGGTATTCCCTGGACTGACCCATCTTGGACGTGAAGATCGCCGGGGCTGCTGGTGTTGGCAGTGACTCTTTTAATTCTGCCAGGAGATGACTCTGTTACACTTTTGAAAATGTATAAAGAGAATTTGCTCTGTTCGCTTGCTTTCTGTGCGCACGCGCCAGTGACTCTTTAACGTTGAATTCTCTTGTGATTTGTAGGCACGAGTTGCTCGAGGAAGCCCGGAGACAAGGTTTACCTTTTGCGCAGTGGGACGGGCCCACCGTGGTTGTGTGGCTGGAGGTACGTGTGTTGTGTTTGCACCCTGGCCAGACTACGTTCCACAGGTAATGTGTTTGTACACCGTGCGGAACCTTCTGGCCTTGACACGTCCTGTCTCTAGCTCTGGGTCGGGATGCCTGCCTGGTATGTGGCTGCCTGCCGAGCCAACGTGAAAAGCGGGGCCATCATGTCCGCGCTGTCGGACACGGAAATCCAGCGCGAGATCGGCATCAGCAACCCCCTGCACCGGCTGAAGCTGCGCCTGGCCATCCAGGAGATCATGTCCCTGACCAGCCCGTCGGCGCCCCCCACCTCCAGAACGGTACGCACCTGGGGCTCACCTGCCGCTCACACCACCTCACATGTCTGGTGTGCGCTTTGAAATTATGGCATTAAATACACAGTTGGGTGGTTAGAAGCTACTTTATTGAATGCTCTTAGAACAGCCTGGCTTTGCAGTATAGATGTACAAGGTTTTAAAAGTGTAGGAAAATAGCTGCCCCTAACTTAAATACAAACTTATCAGAAGTGAAGGGGGAATGGCTCAGATCCCTACTTGCATTACACCCAGTGTCTTACCTCTGACCTGTTCGGCCCATCGGTGCTTTCCCTTCCAGGAGCCGCAGGCCAGGGGCTCAGGGCTCTAAGCAGCCCGTGAATCTGCCCGTGCGCACTGAGTGTTGGCCGTGCTCCCGCGGCTGTGCTCCAGGCAGGCAGACCCTGGCCATCCTTACCAAGGCTCCTCCTGGCTGAGTGTTAAAAATGAATCTGACGAGAACATTAGTGGTTCTGGGGGACAGAGCAGGCCAGCCCCTTGCTGCAGGCTCTGTGCGCTGGCCCAGCCCCCCATCCGCTCGTCTTTGCCCCAAAGAGAAATCCTGGTGAGGATACAGCACCCTCATCCTTCTCCCGAGTAGCGAGCAGGCCAGCGCCTGGCTGGGAGCACGCAGGGACTTGCCCGGAGAGGGCTGCCAGCTCGTTTGTTTCGTCTCTTAGGGAAGGGGTCGTAATGAGCCGTCAGTCTCTTCTTCCCCGCGGCCCAGAGAGCTCACTCTGTGCCACGAATGTGCTGTCACAGCTTCCGACCCGGTCCCCGTTGCCTGGTTGTTTCCAGTTAGACAGGCCTTTCTAGAAACGAAGGTGCAGGGTGGCTTTCCTGAGTCGTATAAAATGTCCTGGCGAAGCCTGCTGCCCCCGGGCGGGGTCCGTGGACAGTGATGACGATGACGCTCACACCTTGGGCCTGGGGCGGCCTGCAGGACGGGCCAGCCTGCCCCCAAGGGGCCCAGCGGCCAGCAGGGCGCTCTCGGGCCTCGGCTCTGCAGCGGCGCCATCAGTGGTGCCGCTGTTTTGGCTCCTTGGGGTCGTTGGCCATTCTGCGAGACCCGTTCCGCCGTGTGCCCGGCCCCGTGGCTTCCCTGGGCGAGGCTGTCCCGTCCACGTGCCCTGTCACTGTCCCCCCACAGGCCAAAGCCAGACTCGGGGACTGTGCTCCTTGTGGTGCTTTGCTCGGGCGAGGATGTTGTGAATACATCAAGTGAGAGTTAATGAGAATTAGGAACAGTTTTCAGACGTACCAAATATGTTGTTTGTATATTTCCCATACGTCAGGTGGTAAGCGTGGCAATAAAGCTCCAGAATCTGTGGGCCGTTCCTGGGTCCCTGCCGATGCAGTGGCAGTGCGTGCGGTGGCTCTCTGTAGAGGGGGTGGGCTGGTTTTAACGTTCTGTCGTTTTCCGTGTGGGCATCTGAAATGAAAAGGTGGAAAGAATGGCCTTTGCCTCCGCCTGCTCCTTTGATGTGCCCGAGGCTCACGTGTCTGCTGCCTTTCCTCTTTGTCACTGCTTCCCTTGCCCTGGATGTGGTTGTCACTGGGGTCGCCCCAGACCACAGGAAATGTCTGGTTAACGCACGAAGAGATGGAAACGCTCACGGCCACGCCACAAACGGTCAGTCACAGCCCCAAGCCTGTCCTCCCTCAGTGCCCCTCCCCCCCACCCCCAAGAGCGGCACGTGTCTGGGCTTTTCTGTGGGAACAAGAATGCCATTTCACCTGAAATTGTTCCAATAAGTACTTCCTTTAGGTGTTAGTTAAATGTGTGAAGCAGAATGCTATTGTAGGCCTCTTCCCTGGGATGGAACATTGATAGGCGAGCTCTGCTTAGAGTAGATCGAACGCCCGTCTACTTCAGGACAGACCTCGGTTTGCGCTCGGTCTTCATATTCTGGCCCTAGTTTCCTCCTTTTATGGCCGTGCCTGCCGTGGGGAGTCGGCTCCTTGCATGAGACGTTGGAGTTGGTGGTTTTGCATGAGTTTTGCATGACGCTTGGGCCTTCTCCCCGCCCCCGCCCCGTCACCCCGCGCCTCCCGGCGGAGCTGACCTGCTTGCATGGCCGGGCTCACCGATACTAATAGTTGTGTTCTTTTGCATTCCTAACCTCGTAACACCAGGAGGAGGAGGAGGGAAGCTGGGCTCAGGTTGGAGACTCTCTATAATATACCCTTCACTGTATGTACAGCAGCAAAAGAGCTGGAGTGTGAAAGCTTGTAATTGACTTTTCTTGACATTTTTAACATCTTACTGTTTATGCAGAGCGCGGTCGGTGATGGGAAGCGTTAGAGCAGAGCTTAGGGTTGAAAGTGCGTCTCATGGACAATTTTGAACCTTTCTCGTGGCCACCACGTTGGTTAATGCTGCTTGACACACATGACTTTGATCAGCCAGCGGCTGTCCTACACTGCGCCCGGGATCGTGGGACCGTGGATGGCAGTCCCCGGTGGGGTAACTCTTGTCCCAGGGCGTGCTGACCGCACATGCTCTGATAAGCGTCCGGCCCAAGAGGGGCCCAGGGTTGTTCCTCCGTCTGCGCATCTTGTGTCACTGTGCCATCCTGCTGCCGTGTCCGGTGAGAGGCTTTCCGACTCCCGGGATTATCGGAAGTCAGGCCTCTCCTTGCAAATCGTACATGTGAATTTTCAGCTTCCGGGTTCCTCAGGCTCCCAGAAAGCTCTGTCACGAGTGTTCTGCAGCCTTGCTTGGGGACAGCTTGATTAAAAACCAGGGGCCTCCTGCACGGATTCCAGCACCTTGCTGCCTGGAGTGCCATTAGGGTGTGGTGCCAGATCCAGGCTGCGGGGCGCGGCCAGGCGGTCCTTCCCGAGGCTCTTCCTAGTGGGGGCACCTTCACGGGTCTCCAAGGGCTAAAAAGAACTCCTCTTCAATCTGGATTTTCCTCATTTCCAGTTGATGGTTGAAACACCTGTTTTTCCCTATTTGTACTCTTAAAATGAAGCCAGTGTTATCCCTTTTTAATTTTTACTTTTAAAGTTTTTTTTTTATATTTATTTTTGAGAGAGAGAGTCCAGGGCAGGGCAGAGAGAGCAAGGGAAACAGATAATCCGAAGCAGGCCCTGCACTGACCACAGCCTGATGTGGGGGGCTCGAACTCATGAACTGTGAGATCAGGACCTGAGCCAAAGTCGATCACTTAACCGACTGAGCCCCCCAGGCGCCCCTATCACTTTTTTAAAAAGCAAAAGAGGGGGCACCTGGGTGGCTCGATCTGTTAAGCATCCAACCTTGGCTCATCAGGTCCTGATCTCACAGCTCATGAGTTCAAGCCCTGCATCAGAGCTCAGAGCCTGGAGCTGCTTCGGATTCTGAGTCTCCCTCTCTCTCTGCCCCTCCCCAACTTTCTCTCTCTCTCTCTCTCTTTCTCAACAATGAATAAGCGTTAAAAATTTTTTTAAAGTAGTAAAAAAAATAAAAAGCACAAGAGGCAAGTGACTATAACATTCCATGAGCTCCCTCTCCAGCCCTTTGCTTGCAGCACTCCGTGCCACCGCCCTAATAACTATCGTTCATCTCGTGGCCTGCTCACGTGGCCTTTACACGGCCAATAAGGACCACCAGTGAATTTAAAGGGGTGCATTTCGTAATTGCTTAAGTATCAATGTGTTCCGCACCAAGAAGAGCTCTGGTAGCACCTCAGCATGAAATCTCCTAATCGCGGCGTGACGTGCAAATTATATGAGCTGAACGTTTACTCTCTGCAGTGGAAACGTAAACAGGGATCAGCCGCGCGAGTGTCACCAGAATTAGCCCATGCTGAGGCCTCGCGTGAGCGAGCACGGTTTTCACTCCTTCCGTCTTCTAGACGAGAGGAGACCCAGCGGTGTCCTGCTCTCTGTGCAGCTGCCGCCTGCTGCCGAGGGCGGGAGTCGTAGAGCGCCCTCCCCGGGCTCGTGCCTGGCGCCGGGCCCCTGAGGCACGGGGGCGTCCAAGCCACGCTGGGGGCCTCGGCAAGGAGACTCCTGGGGCTGGTCAAGCCCTCGATGCCTCCGTTCAGCGAGTGGCATCCGCGAGCCGTCCGTGCAGACCGAGCTGCCTGCTGGTGCCGCCTGCCATCGCCGCGCGTGTTGTACAGATTGCCTTCGTGGCCCCCTCAGTGCTGGAGGAACAGCCTGTGCGGTGGCGCCCGTGCAGCCCAAGTGTTCTCTGACCGTGAGAGACCCCCGCTGTGTGCTTCTTCAGAAGGCTGTGACGGCCGCCCCGGGGGTGCGGGTCTCCCTGGCTCTGAGCCTGGGTCCTCCGGGAGCTTGCGTCGTGGGTCGCTTAACAAGTGGGACCAGAGGACGTAATGAGTAAACGCCATTAAGGAGGGGCTCTGCTCCCGTGGGACTGTTTAGAAAGTTCTCTGCGTTCTGTGTCCATTTAAGAATATATAAGCAGGGGGTAAGCAGGGGTCCCCCGGGGGGGTTCAGTTGGTTAAGCGTCTGACTTTGGCTCAGGTCATGATCTTGCAGTCCGTGGGTTTGAGCCCTGCGTCGGGCTCTGGGCTGACAGCTCGGAGCCTGGAGCCTGCTTCGGATTCTGCGTCTCCCTCTCTCCCTGCCCCTCCCCCACTCGCTCTCTGTCTGTGTCTCTCAAAATAAAAATAAAAGACATTAAAAAAAAGAATATATGAACAGAGGCAAGAAAGCAGTGATGGATATTCACACTCTGTCAAGTCTGTGATACTGAGAGTGAGGCTGGAAAGAGTGAAAAAACATGAACATGGTGACAGTTTCCCAAAAACATTTGATGCTTTTCTCACTCGTGGTTCTTCAGAGAAAGTAGAGAAATGGTTCTTCCCTATTGAATTTGAGCCTTTTTGTTGAAATCGACTCGTTCCTTCTGTAGCTTGTTTGGTGTGACAGATAGATGACAGGTTGTATTTTCAGGAGGGAACATGGCACTGGTTGAGAGTTAATATTTCCCAGGGCTCTGTAAGGGAACGACAGCGCCTGCGCCTGTAGCTTAGCCTTCCTGGACTGAGGAAATCCAGTTCCTGTGTTTGATGTGTGTGCATGTGCTGGCGTTGTGCTTACTGCTTTCTCATGGCACAAGTCGTGCACATTTTCTGTCAGATTTATCCCAAAGGATTTCATAGTTTTTGATGACGTTGTACATGGTATTTTTAAAACTCTCCATTTCCAACTCATTTTTAGTAGTTAGGAATACGAGTCACTTTAGTTCCGATAGCTCTTCTATATTCATCTTCGATGTTGATAATCAAGTCATCTGCAAATAAGGATGGTTTTATTTCTTTTCCCACCCAGGCTTTTGAATTCTTTTTCTTGCCTTATCGCAGTGGCTGGGAGTTCTGGTGCAGTATTGAATGAAAGTGGTGGGAGCAGACATCCTTAACTTTGTTTCTGATTTTAGGGAAAGTGCATTCAGTTTTGTACCACTAGTGTGCGTTCAGCTCCACATTTTTTTTGTAGAAGCCCTTTATCAGGTCAAGGCAGCTATCTTTTCCATTTCTAGATTGCTGAGATTTCCGTAAATGAATGATTTGGTCACACAGCTTTCCCACCTCTCTGTGGGTTTTTCTTTTCAGTACACTGAGACGGCGAACTTCCTTGATTTCCAAACATTGGCCCAAGCTGTGTTCCTGGGATAAACTCCACTTGCCCTAATGTCATATTTATTTAACTTACCACTGATTGGATTTGTTTTGTTAATGACGTTTGCATCTCTGTCTATGAATGATATTTATCGGTTTATAGTTTTATTTATAATTTGTCTGGTTTTGATAACAGGATAATGCTGCTCTTTTAGAATGAGCTAGGTATTTCTTCTTCACTTTTTTGTAATTTATGTAGAATCAGTAGTTTTCATAGATGTTTGGTAGAGATCAACAGCAAAGGCATTTAAGGTAGAGAGGTGCGTGTGTGCGCGTGCGTGAGTGTCTGTGGGTTATAGCTGCAAATTCAAAGTCAGGTATAGGTTACCTACTTCTGACAGAGTGGCTTTCATAGATTGTGTTTCAAGAAATTTGCCTGGCTTATCCAGGTTGCTGGCAGCTGTCTGCAGTTTTCCTTTAAAACAGCTGTCTGTAGGGTCTGTACTGATGCCCCTCTCTTTCATTCTTGATGTTGGTAATTTATATCTTTCTCCTTAATCACTCTGGTAGGGATCAGTCCATTTTATTGATGTTTATGAAAACCCAGCTTTTACTTTCATCATTTTATTTTCTATTATTTTTCTGGTTTCTGTTTCATTGATTTTTGCTCTTTTTATTTTCCTCCTTCTGCTTGCTGTGGATTTCATTTGTTCTTCTTTTTCAAGTTTTTTAAGGTAGAATCTTACGTTATTGATTTGCAACCTTCAGCTATAACGTAAGTACTTAATATGGCAAATTTCTCACAGTTAGTGCAGTGTCCCACAATTTATGAATATATTGTGTGTGTACTTCCTTCATTATTTTTTAAAGATTTTATTGTAAGCAATCTCTACACTCAGCATGGGTCTTGAACCCATGACCCTGAGACTGAGAGTTGCGCCCTCCTCTGGCCAAGCCAGCCAGGTGCCCCTTGTATGTTCACTTTCATGCAATTCAAAATACTTTCCCGTTTCCTTTGTGATTTCTTCTTTGACACCTGGGTCATTTAGGAGTGTCGAGAGTTGTCTAGATGTCTTTTCATTATTATTTTCTGATTTAATTCTGTCGAGGTCGGGGCCATAAACTTGGTATGATTTCCATCTCTTTAAATACGTGCAGCTGTGTCTGTGTTGGGGAACATCCGTGTGCACAGTGGGGGCCTCACGACAGCCAGGTCGGGCAAGGTGACGGTGCTGCTCAGGGCTTCTTCGTCCTTGTGAGCCTGTCCTTGCGAGCCTGTCCTTGCGAGCCTGTCCTTGCGGCGTCTGCTCAGTCAGCCACTCAGCCACGGGGCGGGGCGCGGGGGGAGGGGGAGGAGGGGGGTCTTCTGACCTCTCAACTCTTCTCTCGGTCTTACTGGGTTCATCTCTTCTTTTAAGTCTGTTTGTATTCACTTTTTAAAACTCATTTTGAAATTGACAGATATTTTATTAAGGAAATACAGAAAACAAAGTGTTACAAATAAAATTAAAGGCAGAGCTATCTTTAATGAGTAGAGTTGGGTTGATCCTTCAAACTTGTTCATGAGTCGTGATCATTCTTTGTTATATTATTACGTATGAAAACCATTTCAGAAAGATAATGTGTAATCAGTTACAGTTTTAATGTGGTTTGGTGAATAGATTATATTTATAGGCACAAATGAGTCCTAGGTTTTTAATGGTATAATTTCTTTTGTGTAAAACTTTACTAGCAAATTTAAGAGTTAGTAAATAGGAGATCAAATTATCTTGAAATTATAAAGAACAGTGTTATTGGGTTAGCCTTTGAGAATATGTAACAGATTAAAAAGTCAGTTTAAAGGTCATTTAGATGACCCTTGCGATGTCTTCCATGGCTTTTTTTCCTGAACCGATGTGCTTAATTATTGCAACCAGACGCTGGCGTACGGGGACATGAACCACGAGTGGATCGGCAATGAGTGGCTGCCCAGCCTGGGTCTGGCGCAGTACCGCAGCTACTTCATGGAGTGCCTGGTGGACGCGCGCATGCTCGACCACCTGACCAAGAAGGACCTGCGGGGGCAGCTGAAGATGGTGGACAGCTTCCACAGGTGTGCGGCTGCGCCCCGGCCCGCGGGATCGGCCACAGGATGTTTGACCCCCCGCCACAGCTTCTGAGCTTTTGTTTCCATTTTTGTTTTTTTGGTAATAGAAACAGTTTCCAGTGCGGAATTATGTGCCTGCGGAGGTTGAATTACGACCGGAAAGAGCTAGAGAGAAAGAGAGAAGAAAGCCAGAGCGAAGTAAAAGGCGAGTGCATGACATTTCATTCACGCAGCGCATTAACAGCGTGATTTCCGTCATTTCCGACTTTGTAAAAAAAACTGAGGCAAGGCTTTGAGTGGAGAACCGTGGTCTGGCATCATACACAGGAGGGAACGTGGTCCTTTTCTGTGGCCAGAGACCCTGTGCCCGTTTCCTTGTGCTTAACGTCAGCGTGTAGGGTCAGGGTCTCCAGGGAAAGGTTTTTCCTGTGACCTTAGACGGTTCCTCTTACAAGGATACACGCCCTCTTTTGCCCAGAAAGGCCGCTGCACACCGTTGGGGGGGGGGCTTCTCGGTGTGAGTGTGACAGGCACTGGCCTGGCTGCCTCTCCAGGGACTTGAGGGCCCGCAGGAGAGGAGCGTGGTTCTCCCCCTGCCGAGGAGGGGACGGTGCGCCGTCAGCATGGCGCCTGGGCCCTGCACACCGGGTGGGAGCCTCTTCTGTGGGTGCAGGGAGCAGGCGGAGGCTTTTCAGGTAGGAGGCCGGCCCCCGGGGGGGCTGTATGAGGCCGTGGCGCTCAGCCGGGACACAGCAGCCCGCAGGCCGCCTCTAACTGAGCGAGTGGAGTAGTCTGTTTTGCAATAAGCCGTTTACGATTGAGCTCAAAGTAAAACCTGCCCAAGTTTTCAGTATAAAGAGATCACCGAGAATGGTGCTAGCGGCCAAGACTTACTGACCAACTCGAGGCACAGAGGTTAATATATTTAGTCCTTACCACAGTCCTGCCTGGGAGTGCTGTGTACATCCCTCTTTTTTACTAAGAAACAGAGATAAAAGTGTGGTTGAGGAAGGGGCACCTGGGGGCTCAGTCGGTTGAACATCCAGCTCTTGGTTTCAGCTCAGGTCATGATCTCATGGTTCGTGGCTTTAAGCCCTGTGTCACGCTCTGCGCTGACGGTGGGGAGCCTGCTTGGGATTCTGTCTCTCCCCCGCTTCCTCTGCCTCTCCCCCACGTGCTCATGTTCTTGCTTTCTCGTTCTCTCTCTCTCTCTCAAAAATAAATAAATAAACTTAGGGGCACCTGGGTGGCTTAGTTGGTTAAGAGTCCGACTTCAGCTGAGGATATAATCTCATGATTTGTGGGTTTGAGCCCTACATCAGGCTCTGTGGGGACTGATGGGTGTAGGGGGGAGAGGGGTGACGGGCATGGAGGAAGCCACTTGTGGGGATGAGCACTGGGTGTTATATGGAAACCAACTTGACAATAAATTATTTGTAAAAAATAAATAAATAAATTTTAAAAAATAAAAATATCTGCAATTAAAAATAAATAAGCCTCTTAAAAAAATGGCTGGAGGGGCCTGGGTGGTTCAGTTCGTCGGGCATCTGACTTCGGCTCAGGCTGTGATCTTGCAGTTCACCAGTTCGAGCCCCGTGTCGGGCTCGGTGCTGACAGCCTGGAGCCTGGAGCTGCTTCCGGTTCTGTGTCCTGCTCTCTCTCTTCCCTGTGGATTAAGTGTCTTGCCCTCGCTCTCTCTCAAGAATAAATAAACATTAAAAAAAAAAAAAAGGGGGCTGGGGAGATGGGCCATTTGAAGGGTAGTCTAGCCATGACTGAGTTAGTGTGAATCACAAGGAAAATCATAAGCCAATATTTGTAATATACATACTGCATATACATAATTATATGTAAGATATAAATGCAGTGACGATCTGTAAGTATTTTATATGTGTCCATGTGTGTACATCTGTCCTTTTACCTAGAAAAGGACCTTGGAAATGAAATAAGTAAAAGTGTTTCATTTATTTTGTACTTCCATTTTAAATCTTTACACAGTTGACAGAAGCAGTCTGAAAGTAAACAGTGATCATCTAGTGACTTTTAGATCTCTCTTAATGCAAATGTAGTAATTTATTACTTTGCATCAACGTGAGGTCTCCCCTCACAGTGTCTAATATGCTGGAGAGTATCTTCAAGTTTCTCTGGTTTTATTTATTTTCTTTTTTAATTTTTTTTTAACGTTTATTCAGTTTTGAGAGAGACAGAGCATGAGCGCAGAAGGGGCAGAGAGAGAGGGAGACACAGAATCGGAAGCAGCTCCAGGCTCTGAGCTGTCAGCACAGAGCCCAACATGGGGCTCTAACCCATGAACCACGGGATCATGACCTGAGCCGAAGTCGGACGCTCAATTGACTGAGCCCCCCAGGTGCCCCAAGTTTCTCTGGTTTTAAAATGAGTCAACAAAACGGGCTTTTCGATTGTAACCGAGAGGTTTGCATTGAATCGACATGGTGCCAAAACATCTGATGGTAGCAGGGTTTCGAGGAGACCTGCCGTCCGTAGATGAAGCACATCGGTGCCTCGTGTGCCCTTCCAGCTCCCGGGGCCGGGGCCCTGCTCATGCCCTGTTCTCTGGAAAGTCCGTGTGCACGAGAACTTCCTCGCCCTGGGGTTTCCTTGAGGAGTGAGTGCCGATGGGACAGTTTCCGTCAGGCAGGCGAGGGGCCGGGCCGGTGGCATGTGAGGGCAGCAGGGGCCCCCCTGCACCCGTGCGGGTTGGGTCTGGGGTCAGGACCCGGAGGCTCACGGCGCTGCGTCACAGGGGCGTGTGTGGCGGAGAGAGCCCTCTGGGCCGCCTTGACCCCTGATGTTTGCTGTCTGCAGACGTGCTGGTTTGGAGCAACGACCGAGTGATTCGCTGGGTGCTGTCGATCGGCCTTAAAGAATATGCCAACAACCTCGTGGAGAGCGGCGTCCACGGCGCGCTGGTGGCCTTAGATGAGACCTTCGACTTCAACGCCCTGGCGCTTCTGCTGCAGATCCCGACCCAGAACACACAGGTGACGCCGCCCCGGCCGCCACCCCCGCCGCTCTCCTGCCCAAGCCCTGCGCCTGTCCTGAGCGAGGCAGCGCAGGCTACACCGCACGCTAGTCCTCTCTCCTCGAGCGGCCCGGGGTCTGGGCACTGCCTGTTCCCCCTGCACGCGCCCGTGAGGGTGCCCAGCATTCAGCTCTTGGGTGGAGAGGGAGCCGCTCTCACTTGCCGGTGCCGGGTGGAAGCTTTGCCAGTTTCCCTGTGTGGTTCTCGTCGGCTCGGGGGCTCACAGTTCTTCTTCCACAGACACGGTCCCACCCTCAGCCCCCCACGGGCCGCACCCATGCGGCACCCTTGTTTAATTTCCCACAGAGCGTGGAACCCCCCCACCCCCACCCCGAAGGCCCATTACTGGGGGCCGCTTGGGGGACTTAGTCGGTTAAGCGCCCGACTCTTGGTTTCGGCTCAGGTCACCATCTCACAGTTCATGGGTTCAAGCCCCACATCGGGCTCCGTGCTGACAGTGTGGAGTCTGCTTGGGATTCGCTCTCTCTCTCTCTCTCAGCCCCTCCCACAAATAAAGCCCATTAATGATCTCCACATTAAAATCCCTGATTTAAAATCCACTATTAGGATTCAAGGCATTGAATTGAAAAACCCTTAGGGGTTTTTTTGTTTTGTTTTGTTTGTTTTTTTTAAAGTCTTGGTGTAAAAACAATGGCTATCCGCTAACATCCTTTAAGTTGACATAATTTTGGGGGTGTTTATGATTTCAGGCTCGTGCCGTCTTGGAAAGGGAGTTTAACAACCTTTTGGTCATGGGGACTGACAGAAGGTTCGATGAAGTAAGTTTTCAGCCTAATGATGTCTAAACTTGCGTTAACTGTAAATTATTATATTTGGGGACGCCTGGCTGGCTCCATTGGAGGAGCACACGACTCCTAATCTCAGGTTTGTGAGTTCGAGCCCTGTGTTGGGTGTAAAGACTATTGAAAAGTAAAATCTTTAAAAATAAAAATAAACGTAGATTGCTTTATTTGTTGGAGCTGTGTGCCAGATAATTCTTCCAAATGTGGAAATAATTTTACTTTATAAGTTAAGCTTTGCTCTCAATTTATTAACAAATGAGCTGTTGGGGGCCCTGGGTGGTTCAGTCTGTTAAGTATCTGACTGTGGGTTTTGGCTCAGGTCATGATCTCACAATTCATGAGTCTGAGCCCTGCATCAGGCTCTGTGCTGACAGGGCAGAGCCTGCCTGGGATTCTCTCTCCTTCTCTCTCTGCCCCTCCCCCACTCACATTGTTTCTCTTTCAAAAATAAATACATAAAACTCTAAAAAATTTTAAAAAACAAATGAGTTGTTGAGAAACCAATATTTTCACAGTAATCGGGGGTTTGTTTTTTAATTTTGGCTATTTAACTTCTGATATTCTTCAGAAATATTTTTTACATCATAATACATCGGCTACAGCCTGGGGATCGAGTCTGTAAGTTGTGTTTTGGGGCAGCCGGACATCTCACTGCAATCCAGGGCCCTGTGCTCTGGGGGAATGTTTCAGTGGCTTATTTAAAAACACATGAAATGTGGGGCACCTGGGTGGCTCAGTCGGTTCAGGTCATGATCTCGCAGTTTGTGGACTCGAGCCCCACGTTGGGCTCTGTGCTGACAGCTCAGAGCCTGGAGCTGCTTCGGATTCTGTGTCTCCCTCTCTCTCTGCCCCTCCCCTGCTCATGCTCAGTCTCTCTCTGCATCAAAAATAAATATAAACATTAGGGGCACCTGGGTGGCTCAATTGGTTGAGCGTCCGACTTCAGCTCAGGTCATGATCTCACGGTTTGTGGGTTTGAGCCCCACATCGGGCTCTGTGCTGACAGCTCAGAGCCTTGAGCCTGTTTCAGAGTCTGTATCTCCCTCTCTTCCTGATCCTCCCCTGCTCACACTGTCTTCCTCTCTCTCTCTCTCAGAAATAAAACATTTTAAAAAAATGAGTAAGTAAATATAAACATTAAAAAAATTTTTTAACACATGAACTGTTACTTTCTCCTTACACAAAACCGGGACTGATTTACTTCCGCACCACTGCTTATGACTCTTCGTGGCCGTAAGGACGCTTGCCTGTGATGAGAATAGGCCACGTGAAAGGGCGCTGCAGGCCTGGCCCTCCGTGCGGCACTGTCCGCAGCGCGAAGACGGTTTTGAAGACAAAAACATGATATCTTGTCTAACAGGAAGGTGATTTCACGTAGACAGAGGAGCAGGCCCAGGACTGTCCTGACTTGTGCCCGGTCAGGGTCCTGGTACAGGTGTGGCCCTGCCTCCCTTCGCCCCCTGGCGCTCCCATCTGGCCAGGGGGCCCGCTGGCCATCAGGAATGGCTGTGGTAGATAAATACGTGGAAACACAATTGAGAGACGAGGTCATCTTAAAGAGCTGGTGACTTGACTATAGATTTTTGTCTTTTATCTTACAGTCAGTCTTGTTTTCTGTCATTTACTTTCCCAGGATGATGATAAGAGCTTCAGGAGGGCGCCTTCTTGGAGAAAAAAATTCAGACCGAAGGACGTTCGCGGCTTAGCCGCTGGGTCGGCAGAGACTCTCCCGGCGAACTTCCGGGTCACTTCCTCTCTGTCCCCGCCCTCCGTGCAGCCAAAGAAGATGCAGCTGGACGGTACGTGATGGGCCACGCTACCCCAGCCCCTTGGCAGTGGCCTGGGCGGCTCTCTGGCCGGGATGCTAACAGTGGCGGAGAATGGCCGACTTACCCCGTGACCTGCGCTCGGGTGCTGTGGCGCGTGCCCGGGCTTCCGTGCGCTAAGGTTACTCCTAACATCTGCTTGTCGGAGTTTAACACTGTTGTAGATTTTCTTAACGTTCCTGTCCGGTTGGGTATTAGCTTATTCTTCCAACGAATAAAACTCAGCCTCGGGGGCGTCTGCAGAGCGTTGGACCAGCACCCACACGACACAGCTGTACGGCTGTGTGCGAGGGCGCGCTCTCATGAGATGGCGGCACGGTGGCTTTCTCGCCGCATCCCCCAGCCCTAGGGCGGCCCCCCACACGGAGGAGTGTCGGGAGCACACAGTCCCCACCTCCGTCCCTGTGCTCCTCGTCCGTGTGCCCACACGTCATCAGAAGCCGGCTGGAAGGAGGAGGGGGAGCCTGGGCTGTCCTCACAGGGCGTGGCCCGGCCAGGAACACAGCTGCTGTGTAGTCATTGGGTCAGGCCCGTGATCAGCCCATGAGCACCCCTCTGCTCTGTGGCCGCCGCTGGTGACGAGTCGAGTGGTCTGCAGAGGGACCTCTCGGCTCTGATCGTGTCCCACTCGGTGACAGGATGGGGAGCCAAATGCCTGGGTTGGAATCCCGCTCTGCCACTCGGGGGGTGCGTGGCCTCGGGCCCCTGGCCTCAGTGTCCCCATCTGCGGAGTGGAGCCCTGCTGGCATCTTCCTCATTGATTGGCTGTGACGGCTCTGGGAGTCCCTCGGGGGGAAGCTCTTGGACAGGGTCGGCGTGTCCTGCGGGCCGCTGCCGAGCTGGGCCTGGCACAGACGGCGCGCTCGCCCTCGATGGACCCGGGGGACTGTAGGGGGGACGTGGTTGTGGTCGCTGCAGCGTTCTGCTCCTGGTGCTGACTGCCCGGGGCTTTGTGAGGGTCGCAGCCGCCCGCCTCTGCCTCTGCACAAAGCCGGGGATGGCAACTCAAGTTGGGCCTTTACTGAGCTTTGTGTGAAGGCTGCCGACAGGGCAGCGTTTCCATTAAAAAGGCTGCATCTCTTTGCCAGACTTCCGTAATAGGCGTCACGAGGGAAAAGCCCAACTTCTTAAAAAGTAGCATTTTCCTCATGGAGCCTGTAGGTAGTTTTTACAAGTAGTCACTGTGACTTAGCCTCCACTCGTTGCCTGGCCTGGCTGCTCTCCGATGTCCCCGTAGCTCTGTTACCCTGTCTGTCTTCAAATTCAGGTTTTCCGGGTTAAGCGTTAACGGTGATGTTTGGATTAGAGATCGGGTGAATTAAACAGAACTTGAGAAAAAGGTGCGGGGGGGGGGGGTTCTGCACCCTCGGGTGGTAGAGAGGCGGCAGGCTGGCATGGGGGGGAGGGGCTTCTCAAAGAAGAGGGGGGGCTGCAGTGGGTCTCCCGGGACCTCTGTGGTGGGGCCCATCCGGGTGGCCCGCGGCCATGGCAGCTCGCTGTCCAGAGTCGCAGCCAGAGGGTGACACACCGTGGCCCGCGGTGACGCCAAGCCCGGGACCGGGGGCAGCGTGGTCGCTGCAGAGGCGGGAGAACGTTGTGAGCCGTGCGGGGCACTTGTTGAGGAGAACGGAACCCTCTGTCCTCACGCTGTTTCCAGCAGGAACCGAGGCCGGGCCTCGGTGTCGCTAAGGGGCCCCGCACCCCCTCCCGGGGAGGGCAAGACCGTCCCTTAGACTCGGAGAGCGGGCTCTCTGGACTCTGCCTGCCCTCAGCCCTCAGCGGGCCGCTGGCGCTCACTGGCGCGTTCCCTGCACAGTCCCCTAGCAGACAGGATCCTTGGGCTGAGGGAAAAGTCCGAAAAAGTCTAGAACTCTAGAGGGTGTAAGGAGAAGCGAGTTACTGCATTAGGAGTGGTCATGTGTGCGGATGGACACGGCGTAACTGTTTTCATGTCGCCTGTCGCCCCGTCGCTATTGTAGAGGGACCCCCACGGGGACCCCCCGGGCTGCTCCGGGGTGGGGAGAACCCCACTCGGAAGTCCCCTGGGCGCTGCTGCGTGGGAGAACGCGCGTGTGTGTACTTGTGCCCTCGTGTGTCGTTTTGAGACTAACCGCACGCTGTGTTTGCACGCCGCCCCTCGTGCTGGCCGGAGCAGGCAGCGTATCAGGACCGCAGAGGCTGGATTCGGCCACAGTCAGGACTTACTCCTGCTGACGCCCCCTGTTGGTGAGTAGAGGGCACTGTCCACGCAGGCCGCAGCCGGGCACCGCGTCCTGTCCGCGCAGTGTCCGCGGGCGCAGGGAGAGCCCACGCAGGCTCACTAGGGCCTCTCTGCACCCGCTAAGAGGATTCTGGTGTTTGTGTGCTTACACTTAACATAAAGAGGTTGGCGTGTCCTCAGGTTTTCAGGGGAAATCGTATTTCCACTCTTTCCTTAAAATAATTTTGGCGGAAGTGTCTGCTAATGTCTTTTTGGGGTGGGACGCAGGGTTGTGGTCAGATTAGAGGACAGCTTTGCCCGCCTCCGAGCTGACCACCCTGACCCCCGCCGTGGTTCCGGGGTGCACGGCACTCGCCTCTGCCTGCCCTGGGGGAGCTCCCAGGTCAGCGGGTGCAGTCCTTCTCAAAGGACACAGGCCGCAGCGGATTCACTGCCGTCATCACCTGAATGGCACCGAGAGCCTCTCAGTTGAGAGATTGGTTTTTAGATGGTACTGCCTCCCCCCCCCCCAGGGGCCGAGTGTGTACTCTCGGGGGTTTCGGGTGGGGGCCCAGGAGCCCAGCCTGCTTCTCCTTGCCCTGGGGGCCTGGGGGGGGGGGGCGGCTTTGTGCTGCTCTACCTCTGTTTTCCTGGCTCAGCCAGAATATTTGATTGGCGGGGGCGTCTGGCTGGCCCAGTGGGTGCAGCCTACGGCCCTCAATTCTGGGGTAGTGAGTTTGAGCCCCACGTTGGGTGTGGAGGTTACTTAACATCTTTAAAAAAAAACTAAAACATATTTGATTGGTTTAACTTTTTAATTGGTAACTTTTAGTCACATGCCAGAATGAAGTCAAAGAATTTGCCTCGATTATGCAGATTATGCAGAGTGCTTCATGTTTTCTCTAAATTCGCCAAGTGCTTAAGCCACGAACGGGGTGGGTGGGGGCGGGGGTGGGGCCCCACTGGGGGCCCTGGAAGGTGCTGTTCGGGCTGCTGTCTTAAGACTGATTCTTTGGCTTTTCTTTTCCAGTTTACCCGCACTACTTCTACCGCTGACCCTGCGGCACCCTGACTCCGCCGGGGGCTACGTCTTAAAATCCAACGGAGTCTTTAATCTGTCAATACTTGTTATATGGACCCTGAGATATTTTATTACAGAGTTTTTAATTAGTGAAAAATTCATGAATACCATAGAGAAAATATTTTAGAATTTAATGTTTCTTATATTTATGTAAACTTATGACTTCATTTATATAGTTACTTACTTTTTCATGTATAGCCGGGCTATAAATATCCTTTTAAATCAATTCACGTTCTTATATCTAATTTTAGTCTTTCGAATGAATGTACTGTAATGCTTGTATGTATAAATCCTATGAACAAATATAGGGCTTTTGTAAATTATGCATTTATTGTAATTATCATTGTTTAATTTTTTATTAATAAACCCTGACAGAGAAAAGGATTTTACCGCATCTGTAAAATCATCGTGACCCAGCGTGCATCAGCCTTTACAAACGTCACCCAGCTCTACAACAATCATCTTGAAATAATCAGACTTAATCTTGAGCAATTGTTGTTGTATTTTAATGACTGACCTTAATGACACTTTTTCTAGCAAGAAATGCTTCATTCTGCAGTGTGAACAGATTAACAATGTCTGGTGTTAAATATCAGCTGATAAAACTTGGAAGGGTTATCGGAACACTATGAAAATGTCCTCGGACCGGGGACGCCTTTCACAGCCTTGTCCCTGGGGGCTGGGGCGGCCTGCCTGGAGTGACCCACAGAACCCCGGAGCCGAGGACCCCGAAAGCCCAGGCTCCCCCGCCCCTGCTCCCTGGCACCAGAACTCTCAGAGGACCAATCAGGAAGCAGTGGGCTCCCACCGCGGGGCTGGGTGCTGCGTGCGCGCCCAGGAGGAGGCCGCCTAAGATTCTGGAAATAATGTAGTGCAACTCTAATAAAGGCCTTACTGTTCTTATGTAAATCATCTTTTTACATTTGTTTGTAAACATGTTTAAAGAGTGGACCCCAGAGTCCATTTGTAGATTTTGATGAGACAGCCGTTTGGGGCTCCCGGAGGAGCGAGTGTAACTGTACCTTTTTGCGGCGTATTAAACAGCCAGCAGGAAGTGTGCTCAGATCGCCGTGCATTATTTATTGTGCAGCCGGTGCAGGGGTGGACACGTCATGTCTTCTTACATTTGGTTTTAATTTACTTGTATGATTCACTGTTTCCGCTCTGTTTTTCTATTAATCTTTTGTGAACTTCCTGATTGTGTAACAAAGTATGTACAGTCTACTTTTGAACTGTTTTTATCACAGTATTATTTATTGCTGTCTTTCAATACAGTTCCGAGGCGTTTTCCACTGCCAATAAAGAATACTGAGAAAAGCCGTCGTTGCCTTGGGAAGTGGCTGCCGTGGTTTTCTCTCGGGCTCAGGGCCACGGAGGCACATCTGCCACGCGGACGCTCGCGTGTGGAAACCAGCTGGGAGGCCGCCACCGCTGGACGGTGGAAGTAGAGGACAGGGGTGTCCTCCGGAGGAGGCCAGGCTCGTGTCTGAGGGGAAGCGGCCCCGGAAGATCAGGGAGGCCGGAGGCCCAGGCGACAGGCTGGTCCCTGTGACTCGCCCACGGCCGGGCCGGCGGGACAGGCGGGTGCGCCTGCGTGTCCGCTCTCTCCCCGCTCTGCTTCCTTCCTCCGTGTGCGCTTTCCTGCCCTGCGGCTGTCCCCCCACGGTCACAGGACGGTGCTCAGGCCCGTGTCCTCTCCCATCGTCTCCGGCCCTGGGAACCCGCCAGGCCGCGTCTCCCGTAGCTCAGACCCCGTCCTGAGCCCGGTGCCAGTCGGTGCGGCAGAGGGAGGCGCGCCTGCGCTGGCGGCCGGCAGCCCACACAGGCCACCGCAGGCGGCTCGGCCACCCGGGGCCCAGTCCCTCCCCGCCGCGGGCCGTGTGGGGCGGGCACCGCTGAAGGTCGCTGGGTTTGACCGCCCGCCGGCGCCCACCGGCCACTCCTGTGCACGAGCCGTGGCTTCTGTAAGTGGAGGAACACGCTACGGCGCCTTTCCGTCCGGGCGTGGGTCGGTCGTTCTGTGCCTTCCTGCCAGAACCTGTGCGGACGGACCGTTACTCTCTGCACGTCCTGGGCCTCAGCGTTAGTGAGATTTGAAACAACGGAGGCTTCCTTGCTCTGTAAACTAACACTCCGTTTTGCCCGACGGAAGCCAGGCGGGCCCGGCATCTGCAGGTTTCTGGAAACAGACCAGCTCACCACGGGTTCAGCAGGCACCGGCGAAGCCCGGCCTCTGAGAACACGCGATGGCCACACGTGGCTGTGCGCCCCCCACCGCAGCGGCCGGGGCTGGCGGGTGCCCCCGGGTGCCCCCCACACCCCGGGCTCCTGCGCCCGCGCCTAACCCCTCCTCGGCCCCTCTACCCTCGCCACTGCGGCCCTTCGGTCCGCCTCGTGGCTCACAGCCCGTGTTCTTACGGTAATTGCGGCCTCGCGGGTCGCTCCTGGCCTTCTGCCCGCCTCCCGGGAGGGGCCTGTCCCCGCGTCCTCCACACGGGGGGGAGGGGCGACGGCCTCGCTGAGGCGTCTCTCTGGATCTCAGACTCCGCCTTCTCGTCCCTTCCGTCGCTTGCCTCCAGGGGGGACCGAGTGGCCGGCGGTTCTGCCCTCCGTCGTTGTCGCCCTCGCGCCTCGGGCCTGCCGGCCGAGCCCCGCTGTGAGCTTCCCTGCCCCCCCCCCCACCCCGAGCCCAGGGTCGTCTCGTCCGACCGCCTTTCCAAAGAAGTCACGTGCACACGGTCCAGAGATTTGGACTCAGATGCGCCCGCGGGGGCTCCCCGCGCCCCCCCCGGGGCACCTCTCTTCTGCGGAAGGCCTGCCCGGCGGCCCGGCCCCGGCGGCAGCGGGCGGAGGCCTCGCGGGCCCCACGACGGGCGCCCCGCGCTGGCCGGGAAGAAAGCGGAAGACGGTGTGAATTGTCAGGAGGGCCTCTGGCGCGCGTCAGGTTCACTTCCGGTTGACCTTCGCACTCGAGTGTGGTGCGCGTGCTGGGGGAGGGGGTCTCTGCTTTAGTGGGAGGCGGTTTCGGGGACCCCTGAGAGAGGACCTGCCCTGAGCCGGCACTTGGGGGTGCCGGGGAGACAGTGATGCGACGGCAAACGGGCCCGCCCGCCCGTGAGAGGAAGCAGCGCCCGGCCTGGAGGCCCGGATGCAGCCGGGGGGGGCGCGGTGGAGGCCGGGGGGTAGTGCGGGCCGCGGGGGAGGGGGGGAGGCCTGGGCGGGCCGCGGTGGAGGCCGGGGTGGGGAAGGGGCCGTGGTGGAGGCCGGGGGTGTAGTGGGGGCCGCGGGGGAGGCGGGGGGGAGGGGGCCGCGGGGGAGGGGGGGAGGCCTGGGCGGGCCGCGGTGGAGGCCGGGGTGGGGAAGGGGCCGTGGTGGAGGCCGGGGGTGTAGTGGGGGCCGCGGGGGAGGCGGGGGGGAGGGGGCCGCGGGGGAGGGGGGTGGGGGCTAGGGGGAGGCCGGGGGCGTAGTGGGGGCTGCGGTTGAGGCGGGGGGGGGGCGGAGGCCGCGGAGGAGGCCGCAGGGCAGGGAGGCCCGGGTCCCAGGGCGCCGCTGCCCAGGCCTCGGGCCAATGGGAGCCGTGGGCATGGCGGCCGCGGACAGGTTTCGGGGCGCACCGGGCAGACCCGCACTCGGAGGGCACCCCGGCCCCTCCCGCGCGGCCCGTGGTCGCTGCCCCGCTCACTTGGAGCGTCTTACGTGGCCCGGCCAGCCACCCGCAGAAGCCAACAGAACATTCGTCCGCCGGCGCTGAGGGCGCCCGACAGCGCGGCCTCTGGGCCTCAGCGCCTCGGCTCTGCTTTCAAGCCACGATGCTCAACGAAAATTAGGCCAAAGCAGGTTTCAAACGTTTTAGTTAAAATAAAAGTAATGTAAAGTAATTTAAAAATGTTTAATTAGGGGCCCTGGGTGGCTCAGTCAGTTGAGCCCTACTCTTGATTTTGGCTCAGGTCACGGTCTCCCCGTTCCTGACTCTGAGCCCAGCACCCGGCTCTGCGCCCTCAGCAGGGAGCCTGCTTGGGGTTCTCTCTCCAGCTCCCTCTCCCCTCCCCCGCTCACGTGCCTGCACGTGCTCTCTCTCTCTCAAAATAAACTTTTTAAAAAAATTAGAAAATAAAAAATGTTAAAATTTTTTTTTAATTTTTTTATTAATGTTTTATTTATTTCTGGGAGAGAGAGAGAGACAGCGTGAGCAGGGGAGGGTCAGAGAGAGAGGGAGTCACAGACCGAAACAGGCTCCAGGCTCTGAGCTGCCAGTCAGCACAGAGCCCGACGCGGGGCTCGAACCCACGAACCACGAGATCATGACCCAAGCGAAAGTTGGATGCTTCACCGACTAAGCCACCCAGGCGCCCCAAAATGTTAAAATTTTAAAGCAGTGACTAAGGGATTGCGACATTGCACAACTCAAGAGCTGAAGACATCTTCGGCTCCAATGCCTTATTTTCTTCTTAATTTTTATTTTTATTTTTTTAAAATTTATTCAAAGTTTATTTATTTTGAGAGAGAGAATGTGCATGTGTTTGTGGGCATGCAGGAGGGGCAGAGAGAAGGAGGGAGAGTCCCAAGCAGACTCCGTGCTGTCAGCACAGAGCCCGGTGCAGGGCTTGAACCCACGAACCGTGAGATCATGACCTGAGCCAGTCAGAGCTCAACCGACTGAGCCTCCCGGGTGCCCGTTTTTCATTGTTTGATCAAAGTGACAGCGCGCACATTACTTGAAGAGAAACCGCGCTGCCCCTGCCCTGGCACTTGCCTCCCTCCCTACCCCGTATGGTACTGCTGGGTTCCTCCCTTGCTTCCCTGCTAAGTAACGTGTGCTCAGCATGGGCCTCGGCCCGTCCATTTCCGGATTTACCTGGTGGCATCTCTTTAAGGCCGGGGAGAATTTTAGCATCGTGTCAGCCATGTGGATTGCTACGAGTACCACGGAAAGGGCTTGCGGTGTCACCATATGGCCCCTGTGTTTACACGTGAACACAGGAAGTCTGTCCGGGACTTCTGTGCCCTGGGATAGGACAGGGTATGCATCAAACATTAACTGACCATGTGGGTCGATGCTTATGGAAGATGGGTGATGGATTCATGAAGGCTTACTGTATATCCGACTTCGGCATTTGTGCAGAAGTTTCTAGAATAGAAAATGTTACTGGTTGTTTAGGGATCCCCTCTGTGTGAGAGACGGTCTCAGCCTAGAAGGACCGCTCTCTGGTCCTCACTTGGGGATGTGACCTGGCTGCGGGTCCGGACTTTGAGCTGCGCCCGCAGCGGAAACACGGCTCCTGCCAAAGTCAGCACGCACGCCTCACCCTGCTTTCATGTTTTGATACATGTAAAATCAGGGCACATCCTACAAGCACCGACATCGTAGACTTGCTGAAGTGCGCATGTGACGTCACGGTCGCCATGGGCTGCAGGTGCTTTGCTGCTACAACTGCCATCCAGAGCAGGAGTCTCAGGCCTCCCCCAGAGCCTGGGCCGTCCTCAGTGACCTGGTTGACCAAATGGTTGTGTAGGCCTGATGCTCGGGGACCTCTGAAGTGAGGCCATCGGACGCCAGAGAGAAACCCGCCCCCAGGGGTGCCCGGGTGGCTCACTCGGTTAGCATTCAGGTCTTGGTTTCGGCTCAGGTTTGTGAGTTTGAGCCCAGCATCAGCCTCTGAGCTGACAGCGTGGAGCCTGCTTGGGACTCTCTCCCTCTCTCTCTCTCTCCCCTTCTCTCTCAAATTAATTAATTAAGAAAAAAAAACAGCCCCCAAGTAAGAAGTCCAACCTCCTGAGCCACCGTGCTGGAAGGAAGCACCAGCCAGTCACATGGAGCCCCCCCAAGGTTTCTCCCGGGCTGCTGTCCCCCGCATCTGAGCAGGCCACACGGGGCATCCTGGTCCCCAAAGACAGGATGGGGAGAGGAAATAAGACTCTGTCCCCAACAGTCAGAACCAAAGCCCCAGGCGTATGGCCCCAGTCACTTCCTCCCGGCCATGGCCAGCCATCTGAGCCACCCCAGCCGGGGCTCCTCTGGGAACAAAAATGGGCCGTTGCCCTGTGCCCTGTCCCAACGCCCCCCCCCCCCCCCCCCCCCCCCCCCCCGAAATCGCAGCATGGTAAAAGGGCCGGTTCTTGTTAACTGCTGGGGTGGTTTCTTACGCGGCAACGGATGACGGGAACCGCCGTGTACGGCGCGAGCTGTTACATTTTCTGCCGCCTGGTATTTTGCCTGCTGTCTTTCCCCCCAGAAAACTGGTTTCATAAGCCACCGGAAGACCACCATCTGCTCTGGGCTTTCTTACCTGCTGCATGCAAATCCACCGCACAGCTTAGTG